TTCTCTTCACAATTATACACGCTGCAATAGGCAACCAATGTTAAATTTCTGCAGGTCGTCTCTACTCCTCCGCATGTGATCAAGGTGACAGCCTGCAACGCCTCAGACGAGGGAGAAAACTCGTTTGGGTTAGTCTATTTCTTATAAGGTCCATGGTAGTCTCGCATTTACACTACGCATACTTTCTATTTTCTCTTAAAAATAACAATAATAAATTGTTTATTATTGTAAATTAATATCAAATTCTTTACTTTTAATTTACATTTATAACATCTAAGCTTCACAGTCTCTAATACTTGTCGAGCTTCAATATTTTCACAGGTTTTTATTAAAGCATTTAGTAAACATATAAAAAAAGATTTTTTTAAATTTAAATTCATATTGTGGAACATTTCAATTTTATCATTTTTACAAATTACCTTCTTGCTACGTAACAACATAATTCCTTACATACCAATAATTAGACAATTTTCATTATTTTCTAAAAAAAAAGGAAGAATATTTTTTGTTGCATATGAACACCATTACATAGTTTTCGTATCAGTCTCTAAAATTCCTAAATCACGCCATATTCTGTGTAGGCATACTAGAATTCTACGCATTAATAAATAAAAAAATCTAATTTCTCATAATGAAAAAAAAATAATATAATAAAGTAAATACTACGAACTTGGAACACTAAGCAATGCTTCACATACGCACACACACACACATATTATCAATGAATGCATATATCAAGAGCAATTACGATACCAAGCAACGTATTAAAATATGAGGTAAACGTTAAAAGGGTATTTAAAGTTTACAGTTTTGCTTTTGCTGTTGAGTAGATCGTCGGGCTATCGAGAAAAAGAGGAAAGCGTTATAAACATCAAAAAAAAAAAAAAAAAAATACAATTTAAATGAAAAATGATTTTTAAAATAATTCAAAATTAAAACAGCAATTACAAAGTTAAAATACACAACAGCAATACAAATTAAACATTGCACATAAATAAAGTTACATTACTGCTCAGTATCACACACAACCTCGCTTTCCCTTTTACACAACGATCAGTATTCGCTGGAAAAACATCAAAGAATTCCACAAACTCGGTATACATGTGCTCATCCATATCTATTTTCACATAAAGAACAAATCAGAGAATTGCTCAAACTCGGCACTGCCCACCACATTGACTTTGCCCATGTGCACATCAATCTGTTTTCACTTTAAAAAAAATCCCAGAATTGCACAAACTCGGCATCGCGCACAACATCGGCATTGCGCACCACATGGCTTTGCCCATGTGCACATCAATCTATTTTCACTTAAAAAAAATTCCAGAATTGCACAAACTTGGCATTGCGCACCACATTGGCTTTGCCCATGTACACATCTATCTATTTTCACTTAAAAAAACATCCCAGAATTGCACAAATCGGCATCGCGCACAGTATCGGCACTGCGCACCACATTGCTTGCCCATGTGCAATTATCACTTAAAAAAATCAGAATAGCACAAACTCGGCATGCGCACATATTGGCTTTGCCCACAACACATCGATCTATTTTCACTTAAAAAACATCCCAGAATTGCACAAACTCGGCATCGCGCACCACATTGGCTTTGCCCATGTGCACATCGAACTATTTTTACTTAAAAAAATCAGACATTGAATAAATTCTCCATTGATTATATACTCAGAAATCTGCTTTCACTTAAAGAAATCAGAGAATTGCAGAAACTAGCGCGTAACCAACTCCATTAATTCGAGTTGCAAAAAAAAAATGTGTCCAGAAAAATTATACAAAACAAAAATAAACCTGCCAGAATAAAGCAACTACCGAACATCCAAACTGTCATATTAGAAAAGCTCCCAATATTTTACTTAAGTCAATAATAATAAATGAAACTTACCTTCAGTCCTCTCCTTTTGCAGAATATATGGCTGTGATCTCACTGAGAAATATATGCATCAATTGGCTGGCATTGGATTTCTTGCGAGTCCTTCTCCAAATGTATTCTGCAAGATAGGAATCAAACTGTCCTTTTGCCTTACTAGAGCCACGGAAACTTTGATTGCTGCCCAAGTTCCCTCAATACTATTGGTACGCGCACCTGTTTCTGGATCTTTAAAACGCAAGCTACGATTGACTTTCAGTTTTAGATATCAGCTTTTTACGCCTCATCATCATAACCGCTCTGCTTAAAACAAGGATCAATCTGAATTTGATTTTATGTCATGTGGCTTTATGATGTACTTGTTTCTCCTGCTCTATGCACGCTCACGTAGCTGCTAACTGTGACACTTATTTGCTTCTGCCAGCTTTACTTTCCTCTTAAAGCGATAGCAAAGCTGCCATCTTTATGTATTCCAACCTATTCGGTTTTAACAAGGCAAAATATATTCTGTTAACAAACGAAATTAGAAAAAGTAAAAATAGGTAACATATCCTTTTCTCAACACTTAATTTTCGTCTAAATTTCAATTTACAAGAACCAAATGGTGGCAATTTACTTGTTTGACATATGCTCTTGATAAATCTTTCTTTCAGCATTTCTGCTCACGGAAATTCATGAAAAAATGTTTTTTTGAAAATTTTGTCTTTGGTTTTCAAGTTCAATGGTATGCAATGATACACCAAGGTGTAATACTTAGTTATATACCATCAATTCAAATTTACCCTGGAACTCCACTATAAATTTTAGGGACCCATTGTTTGAATATCAGTTCTACAAAGGATTTGGGTATAAAAGTAAAGTAGACTGAGAATGTGTACACAAAATGTGCATAATATTAATTTAGAACTGTTTAATTTTAACATTGTACATTGAAATTATAACATTCAGTTTTATAAGGAAACACTGGAGCAAACTTAATCATACTTAATTTAGAATGAAGACTTTATCAAATAACCTTTAATGGAAGAAATTTTTATTTTTACTACTTCAAAAAAATGTTTGGAATTTATTTATGAAATTTTTAATATAGATACATCCTTTACCAAAAGATTTGTGTTTTAAGTGAAGAATATGTAATATAAAAACTAAGAAATGAGAAACTTACAAAGACAATAAAAATTTGCAAGTATTTAGTGCCCATTATTTTTATTTCTTCGACAATTTATAAATGTTAATGCTTTAAATTAATTTTGCTTTCCTCAGCGAAATCAAAATTATTATTATCAGTAATATTAAAATTAGCATGAACAAGCTCCTGAAAGGGAGATCATTAAAAATATAGAATTTCAAAAATATATGTAAGTAAATAAAGAGTCTTTCATTTTAAAATTAAATCTATTTCTAAAAAAAATAATTTTTATTTTTGAAATGCATGTAAGTGAGATGGGTTTAGACCTTTAAACAGAATTGACATTGTTGTACATAACTTGAAATTTGGGACCGAAACAACCCCGATAATTCTACTGTACCTTGTAGCACTGTACTGGAACTCTTCCACTTTTATGTGTGTGTAGAATCATAAATATATTGTTTATAATAGTTACAGCCATTAGGAAATGATTATGATTTCAAGACAATGTGTGATCATCTCAAAAACGATGTTGCCAAAAAGAATCCAGTATCCCATCTTCTTCCCCTTCATGATTTTTCTTATATTCCTTATTTACATTCATTTTTATACAGTTTGATCATTTTTCCTAATTGTACCTTGATTTCATCATGTATCTTTAATAATTAAATTATTGTTTTATTTTTAATCAAGGACCTTATGGTCATAGATCATCATTCATAGCAAACTATTAGACTTTTATGACCTTGACTTTCATACATTGTACCTGAGGGTGAGAAAGAAAAATAAAATCCAAAGAAGCGGAATGTCCTGAGTGCATCATAAATTCCATGTCCATAAAGCTAAACTCTCCCCCTTAATTGCTCGGAATGGCATTTTATCTTTAGAAAATAAGTTATACATTTACAAAACCATATTGCATCTCATACTCAGTTATGCCAAGACCAACTATATTCAAGGCCTGTAGTTATGAAATTATTCTTTTGGGTTTTCAGTTCCTTCTGTGAACTTCTTACTGACCAAAAGATGGCATTTCTCTTCTACTACACTTGGGCATATATATTTATGGTTGGCAGACATGTTTCAGAAACGAATATTGGCTGGCTGCATACAAAATTTTAAAAAGATTAATCTGTAGTAGAAGAAATTGTACATTTCTTTTAATAGAAACATATTTATGTAGTAAGAAAGCATGAACTTTCAAGTTGTCCCACTTTTTTCATATGTAAAGATCAGCTACTTGATCTTTATTCATATTATGAATAAAATTATTTTGAAATACAAATATCTGTACTTTTTCCCTCCTTATCATTGGCAACACATGGTTTTAGCAAATTAGTTGAAGTTTTGTTAATTGAGGTCACTTTTTTAAACAGATTGTTGGACTAATTGGAAGAGTGTCTCTTCTAGCTTATATGACATATTCTAATACTCTTTAAAAAAAAAAAAAAAAAAAAACTTAGCCCTCAAAATTCATTGTGGCAAAGACTGCACGATTGCGCCTGTCATTGGCCTTGAGCACTATACAGGTGACAGTATGACTTTGCTGAGTTAACCATGCCCAGCCTGGGGATCGAACCTTGGACCTGGGGTGCTGCTACGCAACACACTAGCTACGGCGTCAACGGGCCACTTCAAATAAACTTTATATAATTAAACAATGTGCAACTTTTTTCAAGTTAAATATTTTTATTTACAAAATTTTGGAATGTGGAAGAAATAAAACTAAGTATTTACATAATTAGTTACAAAAACTATGCAAACCTAAATGTTTATATTAAAAGAACAAATGATAATTTTTTAAAATACAAGTTTACATAGTCAAAAGATAAAATTTATAGTCATTAATAGGCCGAAGAAATAATATTACACAACATATTCTAATCTAGCTTCTAAAACAATTTCATGTACATTAGAGCAGTATAAGAGCAGTGAAATATATCATATATTTGGATGTTCTTGAAAAGTTTGATTAGGATTTCTTCTTTATAAAAACATTTCTTTTTTCCCTTCTACATACAAAGTTGGATACTCACACCATTCTCAAATCTGTCACTCAAAATTAGCCAAAAAGCTACTGGAAACACAGTATTGCATTTAAAAATAAAATCACTTCTTCCTAAGTAAAATGAAATAAAAAAAAAACTTTAGAACATGCTTGCTTAAAGAATGTAATATGTTAGTTTCAAAGAAAAAACAAATTGCTTTAGTTAACTTCTAAATGAACATTTATAATTATTACATATGTAAGAATTTATTTCTTATCCTAAAAATTGATAACTTTATAAAGCAGCAGTTTATACTTTCAAAAATAAATTCTTAAAATATACTGAACTCTGGCTAATTTATTTACAGATTATGTATTTGTTGGTTTTTTTCCTAACCCACTTCTTTTTTAACGATTTTGAAAGAAGAATTTTAAGAAGCTAAAAAACTTAAGATTGTTGAATGAAACATGATTTTTGGTGCTATGAATTTTATTGCCTAAAATACAAAATAAGATTGGAAGGTTAGCATAATACATGTCGGGGGGAAAATATTCTGATCCCTGCTCTTGTAAAAGAAGAATGTTCTACTGATAAAGAATAACAGTATTATGCCTTTTATGGTTTCTGATGATTAAAACTTTTAAAATGAAGTGACAAAACATGTAAGAGTGGTTACAGATATAAAATAACCGAGGAGCTCGTAACAGTTTATTACACTACAACATTCTAAATATCTCTGTCTGGGGCGTATTTCAAAGGGGCTGGAAGAACGAAGGATGGCCACTAGAATCTGAACAACATTTTAGACTCAAGTTAAGGAGTCATAATTTAATGAAACTATATACCGCATTTACAAAAATGACTGAAAAAAACTGGCATGCTTTCCCATCCAAACAGAACATAGCTTGGGGTCAGGGTTGAAAATTCATCACGTGTTATTATTTTAATACTGCAGGTCGTAACTTTAAAACTTTTGATGTGTTCATTTTTTATAGTACACAGGGTCATTTCGAATTATATTTGCATACCAGTACAATAAATTAGCATGGATAATCAAGAAATTTAATGTATTAGATTTTTGTAAGCACATGAACTAAAATATTTTTCATAGAATGTTTCTCATTTAAGCACTATTTCCTAATTTTAAAGAAAGATTTTTATAAACCTAATATTTAAGAAATTTTGCCATTAAAAAATTTAACTTTGATTTATATGTAATTTCCTAGTATGCTGGTGTCTAGGAACATTTGACACTTCTTAGCAAATTTGTATCAGCCATTGGGGGTGCAAAAAATCTTTTGATACAAGGGTGTAAAAAAAAAAAAGTTTTAAAAAATTTTTTATGCATTAATTTACTAAATTTTTATGTAATTAAACTTCTAATTAAATGATAGTAGGAAGAATAATACATATTTTTACATGTAAATTCAAACATTAGTAATCAGACTATAAATTACATATAATTTTATTAGTAGCATAAAAAATAAAATATCTCGATAGTTAGTTATCTTGATAGTTATGCTGGAACATTAGTAACTTTTGAAGTCACTCTTATCACTTATATAAATTCATATACAGATGCACACACTCACAAACAAATAAAACAAAACATCTCTTCTAGTTGTATCTTTTATATAAATACAAATAAACAATCAGTAAATATCACCACAATGGCACTTACATCTGCAATCTAAGCAACTCTTTCAAAAACAGTTTATCACATTATACCTGCATTATTGCTTTATGCATTCAGTGCTTAAAAAAAAAGGCAGACAGATTTGTTTTTTTAACGTCTTTTTGATTTCTCAATTTGTTGCATACTATTTCAAAAGAAGAAAACATTTTTTTCAATACATGCAGCTGAAGCTCTTGCTGTGCTAAACATTTCGATGATATCATCTCTTTTTCAGCTATGTATTCTTTCATGAGAGCTATTGATTTCCACCTCTCATCCACTTTCAGAAAAAGTTTCATAGAAAGGCGAAGCCCGAATTTTAAATTTTAATATAATTGTCAAACAGTGTCTACGTATTTTCTCTTAGATTTTATTCAATAGCTCTTGCTTTCCACTTACTAGTAAGACTTCAGCTTTATACCTTCTTGATATATGTACTTAATTGCAGTTAGTTGATGATAACGCTTGTTCAATAATTTTATATAATATTGAACATCTGAAATTATTACACAAGACTCAAGATTTTGAAAACAACTTAAAAATATTGATTTTTTGAGCAGATTTCAAGATCTTTTAATAATTGAGCAGCTTCAGTAATAATCCTTTTGGATTTTATAAAAAGTGACTGAAATCGGCAAAAAACAAAGTAAGATCTACATTTCATTTATTACTATAATATGGAATTTTGTTTAAATATTTTTGTCTATTGCATTATGATTCTCTTTTGCAGTTTTCATGAGAATTGGTCAGTTCTTTATATAGCTTTCAAGTGAGTCACATACTTCCATTGGTAACACAGAAAGGGTAAGTAAATTTTTACTTGCATGTGGGTATTAATGATGTATTAATTTCCACTGAATATACAATTCTATCCATTATGTAGATTATTGGTTGGTTGTGGATATTAGATCAACAGTAACATCGTGTATACTGTTTGATTAACTAAAATATTCAAAATGTATCTACTTTTTCATATTTATCATTGAATAATTTACTATATAAGACACTTTTAAATGGAACCCACCAGCAACCGAGTAGTAAAATCGCTGAACACTGGTAGTTCGGTCCGAGGTTCGAATCCCGTGAACGGGCTGGTTGCATGGGTTTTTTCGAGGTTTTCCCCATGTGTAACGTGTATACGAGCCAGTTACCCTTAGAAAGTCCTCCACAAAGGCATCCCTTCCCTTAGGCAGATAGCCCTCGAGGCTTTGCCATAATTAAATAATCTAACCTAACCTTTTAAATGGAGGCTAATATGCAGGATACAACATCTTCATTAATTTCATGAAATTAGAGTTTTCTACAACATGAAATGATACATTTGAAGAAAAAAAAAATTATCTACTTAAAGATGTATTTAAAATTTTTGAGAAGCTGGTATACTACATATTCTTAGATCATATACCATTTGTTTTGGATTAGTATATGCATCAGATTTACAATCAAGAGTAGATGAACATGGAATTTACATCTTTTTAATGTTGTATAAACATGGCTTGTCTAAAATATTTTAAACAATTTTACTTCTTAAAAACCTTTTTTTTTTTTTTTTTTTTTGTTGTTGTTGTTGAATTCAGTAATTAAAATCTCTTTAAAAGTACAGATTATCTTAATCTTTGATTTTAATATTTCTCATAATTTAAAAAAATAGGAAAACTTCTGATTTTAATCAATGATTATTATTTTTTAAATCCTTCAATCAGAATAAGTCCTCCCTTTTGTGAAGTAGACACCACTTCGGCGATTCTGGATTAGGGGTTTTTCGGAATTATAGATCATTAATTTAAATCTGGTAAGATGGCATGCAGAAATTGTACAATTAAAAATATGAAACCATAATTTATGAAATAAAGAGCAATTATTATCTAAAGGGTATCAAAATTTACAAAAAAACATTTCTATCAATGTAAGTTGTTTAAGTTGCTTCGCTTTTTGTGCTAATACTTTCTCTTTAATTCTATAAACAGACATAATTTCTTGTTCAGTTACAAAGTTCCACTGTTCGAGTCCTGTAATTGCTGTGTCGAGAATACCGACTAACTTGTTAATCGAAATTTTTTCGTTTTCAATTACATTCTCTGTTAAATTTCTTCACTATCGAAAGCGCGCATGAGTAAAAGTTTTACTGGCTTTATGCGCATGTGTAGCGGACACGCGCCTCAAACGCCCATGCGTAAGTGTGTGGCTTTGAGGTCCGGATTATAGATCATTCCAGATAATGGACGTCCGGATTATGGACTTTGTATTGTATCTTGGAAGAGAATCTAGCTTTTACTTTTTGAATAGTCATTGAAATATTATTATTACACAATTGCAGCAATGCACATCTTTTTTATAAATTGGTCCTTTTTTTTTTAAATCAAAAACTGTACCTCAAGGCCATTGGTTAGTTGCATTTTATATTATTAAACCTTTCCCTCACAATAACTGGAATAGCTTTATCATCATTAAATGATCACATTAAAATTACAACATAATTCATAAATATTTTTCAGATAATATATGATTTGTATGTCATAGAACTGTGTCAAAGAATAATAATAATGGTCATAATAATAATTAACAGCATGTATACTGAATGGGTCTTACTGTACATAATATAGAATCACTAAAAATTAAATTTTTTAGGTACTCTGACTAGTACATTTCATATAAATTTAAAGCAATTAAATGTTTACATATCTTACATTCTAAAGCTGAAAATATGATTTGATTCAGATAAGGTGAAAAAAAAAAAAAAACTTACATTTTTGATGGAAGCCCATGGCATTCGACTGATACAGTGCACTGTAAAATAATAATCATATTATTTGAATTGTAATTAATGTGTAACGAAATAATTAAAATTGAAACAAAATTCTTAAAATAACAAATAGGGAAAAATTATACTTAATGAAAATAAAAAATATAACATTATAAGTAATATATTATACCTTATAAATAAAATTAGGATGCTTTCAAATAATATGACAGGAAGTAAAAAAACTAATTAGCTGAGAAACACCTGATTTGATCTAAATAAAAAAAAATAAAAATAAAATAAAATAAAAAAATAAAATTTAAAAAAAAAAAATCTGAAAGATTTCAGATTTTACATTATTATGCCAAAAGGGACTTTTTTTCTAACCTTTTGTGTGTTACCTTTATTTATTAAATGTTCTGTGAACTTAAACCATAAAATTCAATTCAACAGCAATATTGCAAAATAATTTTAAAATGAGCATATCTTTTGAATTTCTGATACACAGTCTCTAGAGATATCCCCCCCCACAGTTTTGTCATTGCTCGCATTGAAATCACTGAGTTTGTTAATCAAAAATTCATTGAAGTGTTACAAAATATGAAATTGATGATAAAAGATATTTAAAATTCCAAATTAGGGTTTTCAGATGTCCATATTCAGCGGAAGATTACATTATTCAAAATTTGATGGCTTCTAGGTACCATTGTTTTATCGCAATGCAAGAAACATACATACATTTATGCAGATTCTTCATTATTTAATTTCTTTAAATATAACATAGGGTGATAATATTTGGTGGCAACAATTTGAAAAGTGAATCAACATTTAAAGTTTTCAATGCAAAATGCCAAAACAAAATTAAAGCCCTTTTGGGCTAATAAATGAACTTCAAGGAAAACAGTTTTGAAATGTTTGCTTCCAGCTATTATAATATAATAGCATAGCAAAGCAAAGCATACTCTGCTCTTTAACCCCTTCAAGGTTGGCATCGCATTCCATATGACAAAGTAAAAAGTTCAGTCATCGAAACTGAATTCATTGCTACTCATCGGTGCTTTAAATTCCATGATTATTTTTGTATTTCTGAATATTTCTAAGAGACAGCACACTAATCCTAGTTTCTTCACAGTTTTCGCAGTGAGATTTCCCGTCTTGAATATCCGTGTGATATCTGTTGGAATTTCAATTAAAAAAAAAAAACATTCAAGATATTTTTGATATTCATAGCCATTTTTTTTATAAAGTAAGCAAAGAAAAAAATTTTTTTGATTAAATAAATGATTTTGGTTTTGTGTTAAATGTAGTTTTTAGGCCCTGATGTCCAAGGCAAATTGTATAGCTGTTTTAATGGTAAAGTAGGAAAATTAATGGTAAAGTTACATTTTTTATGTAATTTTTTATGTAATTGTAGATATTTATATTAAACACATCAAAACAATAAAGTTAATAAATATAGTATCACATCAAATTTTTTTTAAATTTAAAACATGGGTGCATTGCAGGGAAAACTGGTGATCAGTGGACGAAATATCACATATTTGACTACCTATAGGTACTACTGCTTATTGTCAGACATATTTTGCATTTTCGAATTTAAGATAGAACATATATTAAATTTCAGCAATAAAAAAAATGCTTTTTTGAGTTATGAGAAATTTGGGGGAAAAAATCCGATCAAGATGGGGTTAACATATCTTCATATGGAATGATCACAAGGATTAAACTACAGACTACATGGAAGTTATTTAACGTTTTTTTAATGATATATTTTTTACAGTTAACCAGATTTTCTTTCATCAAACATTGTTTTGCCAAGAAAAAAAACATTTTCAGTTCTGTTTGTTCAAAGATCGTCCAGTAGCAATGAACCATATTATGAAAAACTATGGCAGAAATTCCTATCTCAATACAATAATAATACATTCTACGAATACTTGGCCATTTACAACATACTGCATGTCACATAAGAAACAAAAATGCTATGATTTTGAGGTATAAATTTTCAGTTTTTCATATTTCTATTGCTGTCTATTTCCATATTCCTTCACTCTGTTTCATTGCTAAAGTAGATATTTATTTTCATTAATTTTCACATCATTTTGGTCATGCAATTTACAAAACTGAAATAGTTTTTGACATCTATATTCTTTAGGGACAAATAGAACAGGATCTTTTACAGAAATAGTCTCATGACTTTTGATGAGTCTTCCGAACAAACTTCATTATATCGCCAATTTTAGTGAATACTTTCATATTCATTTTTAATTTAAAGAAAAATTTACACTTTCTTTACATTTTGTTGTTAAAGGAAGCAAAATCAAATACAGTTATTTTTACACGACTTTTGATGAGTCTTCTGAACAAACTTCATTATATCGCCAGTTTTAGTGAATACTTTCATATTCCTTTTTAATTAAAGAAAAATTTACACTCTCTTTACATTTTATTGTTAAAGGAAGCAAAGTCAAATACAGTTATTTTTACAAAAATTTCTTATCAAACTGACATTTTTTTAGGCTTCAAAGTTTTCAAACCGATTCAAACGTTCGATAATAATTCTAGGATTGAGAATAGCCACAGGCTGTCTTAATTCACCATCTTGTCAATAGTAAACTTTAAATGCTTTCCATACAACCATCAAATGAAAAACATTGTATTGCAAGGAAGATAGACATGATTTTTGCAAAATCTTAAAAAAAAAAATATTATTTCACTTACTCTATCCTCAACATCTCGAAGAGGTAAATTGTCTCCACTTCTTTTCCTGCAAAATTATCTTTTGGGTAAGTAAAATGTTTCAGATGATAAAATATTTTGAAATTAAAACTAACACACAATGGTTAAAAAAACATTTGTTCTAAATATACCAGGATTCACTTACCAAAATTTAATTATATTGTTTGCTTTAATTTGATAAACCCAAGTAATCTTCAAAGGCCACCCAAGAACATTCTAAAATTCTTTATAATAAAGTCACCAAAACCAAATAATACATGCTGAGATGAAACTTCTACTTATTTCACTAGGGAATACTGACCAGCACATGTCCGAAAAGAGTTATGAAAATTATGACTGTAATCACATTGAAACATTGTTTATCTATTAGAAAAAGGTACGGCCTGTCAAATTCACCCTGAGCTTTGACGGTATGTAAATAATCATGGCTTTGAATTAAATATTGCAAATATGAAAAAATTTAACTGGGTATCAGTTACGAAAAATCAAGAAAGATATTTTAATATTTATGTCACAATACAACAAGCATTTTTATACACTTTATGGTTAGCAAAATTCCTTTTGCAATGCCAGATGATGTCTTAATTTTCATAAATAATGAAAAAATGCATAATTAAAACAGAATATAAACACAACACCCAAAAAACAGCACCAATTAAAGTGTTATAAAATTTTAACTATCTAGACTTCACATAACTGGAAACTTTTTCTTTTCCCAGACTGAAATAAAATTAAACTTATTATTAGTTGAAGTGCATTTTTAACCTTTTGCCAGTATAAATACTTAAGAGAAGAGCAATATTTCTGTACATGCAAAAATTATACAAAAGAATTGGACATAAGTAATGAAAGAATGAAAAGAACTTACTACTATTCAGACAGTTTTATTGCTTAGATTAGAAAATATGTCCATATTGAAATATGACACTGTAATGCCATAGCATTCTTGTTATGAAGTGATTTAGCAAGAATGGTAAATGCTGGAGCAGATTCTTACACACTTTACAGCATAGGTATTTATAGCCTCTTTTTTTTTTTTTTTTTTCCCCTTATAGTAAAGGATTTTAAACTGCAGTATATCTTCCCATTCCCAATGGGTATATTCACTCTGGGAGTTTCTCTACTACCGTCATTTGACGGAATTTGGCATTTTGATCCATTAAAAAAAGTGCTTCACCAATATTTCATGGAACAAATAAACAGGATAATCAACAAGCCCTTTATAGTAGTTGCCTGTCAGTGATACCATTGTCTAGCATCTGTAACTCTCTCCATATATAAACCATTATGCCATCCATACCACCATCCCTATAACATTCCCTTTCTACATACTATTCTGGTGATATGTTTATCCCTTTTGTGCAAGATGAATTGACTCTATAATCTGACTACAAACTCAATTGATACTTATACTAGTGTGTGTTCTCAGAACAACACACTAGCCCATTGCTACACAGTTAATTTTAGTGGACCTGAGATCACTGCAAATGCTACATACATTATAGTGTCATATAAGACGAAGCATGGTAAACTATGGCCCCTTATATGTAGCTCGTGGTGTAACAATCAAGTCTTATTTTTGAACCATGATTGTTATTTGAAACAGAAATAGTGTTATGATATGTTTTTTTTAATTCAGTAACTTAATTACAATAATTTTAATCAATTTGACATTGTGCATTTCACTGCATAAAACTAAAAGTTAATGTTTGGTCACAATTGGGGAAAAAGACAATCAAATTGGTGAACAAACTGATTTAATTCACTATTCTACTAAGAGTTTAAAATGTAAACAAAGAGAAGCTTTGTTAGGCTTAGTAGCAATTAAATAACTTTTAAATTGTTGATATCTAAACTATTGCATGCAGATTAATTAAAGGCATAAAAACCTTAACTGGAGCATAAGAACGACATAATTCAATCACTTTTAAAGCAAAAAATTCATTCTACCACCATATAAGAATAAAACCAGAGCTTATAGAGCCGGGTATGAGAGTGGTTTTATATACATGCACATGTTTGGTGCAGCCGATTGCAGTAAAAATGGGAAGCACATAACTGCATATTATAGCAGTCCCATATACAAAATTTCAATGTTCTATGGCTAATTTTTTTTAGTTATGCAAGATATATACGTACAGATGTCACAAAAAAAATTTCTTCTGAATACATTTTGGAAAAATTAGTCCTTTATTCTGCCATTCTTACAAATCTCTCACTCTCACACACACACTCACAAATCATTTAAATGGATTCGAGAGTGGCCAAAATGGATATTTTCTTTGAAATGTGATACCTGAAATGTTTCGCAATTACAATACTTCCCTTACTTTCTACCACGAAGTAAAAAAATAAGGAACTAACCTTAAATTATATGTTGATGGTGGTGACACTTGTCGTAATTTCTCAACATCATTGAAAATGACTTGAACTCCACCTCCAGCAGATGGTATTACATCAGCCTGCAGATAAATATTTATAGTTCAGATGAGAAAAATAAAGAAATTCGTAATGCAAAAGTTTATTCAAAATAAGTATACTTGAAAACTGTACTGTCTAATAAAAACTTCTGAGTTTTAAGCAACAAAACTATATATGTAGCTAAGGAGCAAAATTATATATGTAATTCTTGATTTTTTAGGCTAATTAAATTACTAAAATTAATCATAAATACCTAAATCATTCAAATAAAGTTAATCTCCTGCTTACATTTTGAATTTTAAAACTGCTATTTCTATGCCAAGTGTAATTTCTATGACAAAATGAAAACAAAGAATGAAGAAACATGACATAATGTTCTCCAGAAAAGGCAATATTCTTCTTCTAGCATGGAAAGACAAGTAGGTTCTCAGAATGATATCAATGATCCATGGCACTTTTTCCTCTCTCAACAAGAGGAAAAAGAAATAGTAGAATGGGAGAGAATATTGTGAAACCTACCTCCATCAAGGAATAACAGTGCCCAAATGAAAGGCATTGACTATGCAGATCCATTTCTTTTGTGCTGCTCCATTCTAAGGAAAACGATGAAATGAACCAAAAAAAAGGTAGCATTGTACCTTATAAACCGTGAACTCTTCAGTTCATTTTAGAGTGTACAGCATTTTCAATCCACAAGCAAAAATGAAGTATAAACAGCTTCTGTTATTGATGGCAAGAGATTGGATAATGGATGGCAATAATGAAGGTTTTCCAGAACCAGAGACAAAAATATCCAGCCCTTCACTTGGTGCCGCAAGAAGAGCATCTCATAAAGATGCTATATAGAGGTTTTCAGATGATATGAAGCAGCATGAACCTACGTACGTGTATTCCAGCAAGTGGAAAGAAAAACTTTCGTACCAGAGCCTGCAGTTTATGGTGTTCATGGAAAAGGGAGCAAATCTAGATACTTACACAAAGTTTGTTTAGTCCCTCTCCATAGAGGAAAATGTTTTATGTGGCACTATGCATTAAAAAAGTACTAGAAACTTTAATTGTTTAAAAGTTTGTTGAAAAACAACACCTAAAGTGCATTATGATGACCTGAATAATGTGCAGTTCCTGGCGTATGTCTTAGAGACTTTTATACGGAATGCAGTGTGTTAATTTATTAGTTCATAAGGTGTACTAATTGATCAACAGTTATTTGCCAAGCATGCTCCTGACCGAGAACTTCAAATGGCATACATTCCTGGGTCCAATGGAATGCAAGGACTCATAGTTGCATCTGACATGCCATACAACATTTTTACTACATTGTGTATGGTATATTTTCATCACAGCAATGTAAAATCATTTCTAAAACCTCTCTGTATTTAAAATGCAGGTAGCATTGGTTTGATATACCAATAAAAGCATCTTCTTCCAAATTTGATAAATATGCTTTTGTGACAGTAGACACTGATATAACTTTTATGGCTAGCAAATACTTTGAATTATATGCTTGCAGCAGCGACCATCAAACAGCCATCATCAAAATGACTCTGCACTGCAAGTTAATCATAATATGGTCTAAGTCTGTACTACTTCATTTCTGTTTAAGTTTTTAATACTTGTATAAAAATAATTAAAAATGAAAATTAACTAAAAGCTGCTAAGATACAAGGAAATGACAAGAGTTACTTTATTTATTTGTGTGAGTGTGAACCAGATTAAAAAATTTTTATTTAAAAAAATTAATTTGGTGGTCACATAAGGAAAAGCAAATAAATAAGAATTACTTCTCTATGTAACAGCTAGTAGGTACATATCTTACCACTGCAACACACACTTGTATTCAAACTATCTGATTATAGTACACCAATTAATGCGATGTTTAGGAAAAAGTACATACAAGATAAAAATAAACCTCAATTTCTTATACTAAATGTGGCAGTTTTTTTTTTAATAGAAGGCTAAGAAAAATTCATGTTTATTAAACATATTTTTAAAAAAATGATAGACAAGTTTAGTACAAGTTTATACCTTATACAGCTGTGTTTCCACTTCTCCCTGTGAATCCTGCTCTTGATGCTCAAGGACATATTTTGAGACGTCAGATTTGACAACATCTTTTACTTCTAATTTACTAACAGATTTCTTTTTTCTCATAGTAGGTTGTAAAACAGTGTCTAAAACAAAAAAACAAATTACTTAAATTCTGATTCTGAAGAAAACAGGACTTAATTATGTATTTATGTGAGGAATTAAAAACATTAAAACTTATCAGATATGTTTAACAATTTTTGTTTATCTATTATCAAAATAACAGCAATGAAAAATTACAGGTAGGTTTTTGCATTTAGCATAACTAGAATCCTGTTGTGATATAAATACACAATTAAAATAAAAATACATTTTTAATATAAATAGTTGTATGCAAATAGCTTTTGTTAATAGTGATGAAGTTTTATTGCATCATTTAAGAATATAAGAGCAGTTTTATATATATATATATATATATATAGATATATATATCAAATTTCATTCCCTGCAGCAATGGCACAAGAGAATTACTTAAATTTAATTTAACTTTACAATTTTATAGTGAAACAAGTTTGTTAGTACTTAGCAGCTTTTAGCACTAATTACCTTGTTTGATTTAACTTTTTCAAATGTAACTTAGTTCAAAAAGTTTGGTTTTCCTTTAAAAAAATTTTACGCTTAACTATTTTTTTTTTTTTTTTTTTTTTTTTTTTTTTACTTATTTAAAATTTTAACTTGCATATTTTTTTAAATAACAATAGTTATTTTATTTTCTTTCAATTTAAATTTCTTAATTAAATTTAAATTATATTTGCTTTATAGAATAGAGAATATTGTTAAATTCAAATTTTTATGTATGTAAATAAAAAACTGATTAAAAAATCAAATTACTTTTAAAATCTTAAATTACAGTACTCTCTCAGTTTTATTCCCAACTACAACCATTATCCATGGTTTTGTCAAATCTCTGCTGTAAAAAATTATTTGGAGTTCAATAAATCAAAAAATTAATAGTTAAAAAGGATTCATGATGATATGCAACAGTAAAAAAGATCCAACAATAAAAGTAGCTCCTTCATTTTAATTATTGTATCCAATTCAATTAAAATACACAATATCCATTTTTTAATTTAAAACTTTTATTATTCCTTAAGAAAACCCTTTAAATTTAAGTTTGTTACCCAAACTTAACTTAACTTAAACTTTGTTGAGTGCAATAATTAATGTAAATCAAGACATGACATAAAATAACAAATGAATGTTTAATGAGATACGTACTTGTAATTTTTTGTATAGTTTTCTTATTTTAAGGTCAATTACTAAACATTTTTATAAGGCAAGTCTAGTTCTGCATTTATGTGGCTTGATATATATATTATGTTATATTTTGTTTTGGTACTTGCACAGGCAGAAAATCCTGCTTCACAGAGCTATATAATTGTGAAAAGCAGCAATATTAATCATGCTTTGTTAGACAAGATTTTCAATTTATCTTGCATATGCAGCCAAAATTCCAGTAGAGTGGTTTCAAAACACAGCTTTTAATTCATTCTGAGATGTCACTTTCAGAAAAACCTCATGTTCTTTTCAATTTATGTTGGGTAAGTTTTCTTTCCCCCCCCCCACATTTGACACATTCAGAAACCATTTCAACACCATCAACACACATTCATAAACCATCAGGTAGCTTCCCTTGGGCTGTTAGAAAATATATTCAAACAAGTCTTTAAAAAGCATCAGACTAGCAAGAGAATATATATATATTAATTTTGCAGCGACATTCACTTGTCTAAGAAGAAAGCAACTGATATCTTCCTTCTCCATACATTCCAACCAATCCATAAATTTTCTCTTAAAAAAAAGAAAAAGACATTTAGGCAACTGCATCAAAAACAGTAGCATTTTTTTCTTTGCAATGATATTCATTTTGTTGATTTTGCTAAAAATGTTTGCCAAATATGTAACTTTGCATCAATTACGACTGTCAACAGTAGAGAGATATAATCCATCAAAAATGCTGCTGCTTCTGCACACAGTTCAATTGAACATGCCAATGCTTTTCTTCAAGACAATGATCTTACTTGAGTGGGCAGCAGGGGGGATCCACAGTAACTTCCCAGTTTGTCACATGTTAGTTTGAAGAGCATGCTTTTAAGAGATCATAATTTTGTACACTTTATTATTTTCACAATGTCATTCAACACTATCTAACTCAGAGGGCATTTTTCCTCAAGATTAGTGCATGTCTATAAAGAATGCAATGGCTGCTATTATGTTTCTTTCCCTTATCTTTTATTTGAGCAATGGCTGCAGCATTATGACCCATTATTGTCTTTACACTGTCAGCACATATATCTGCCCAGCTGTCTCACATTTTATTTGATTTGAAGACTTCATTCCAAAATTAAATATTTCATTTCCTGATATGCTTGCTGGTTTGTAGTAGTCTGCAAAGAAAAAGCTCCTTGATATTTTCGTAAATAAGTTTAAGAAACCCCTTAAAACTACTAACCAGGCAACACCATTAAATTAATTTATTTTCAGTGTGAATTTAGTACATCTCATGCAACTCAGAACTGTGTCTTTTGCATCATCAATCATATCACTGATTTGTGCGAGCAAGGGTATTATTTGAGAAATGTGGATAATGTAAGTTAAGATATGGCACAAAATACTTAGCTGTACAATGAATATCTATACTATTAAAATCTGTGTGTGTCTACTTTAATTAGCCAAGATATTAGCAAAAAACTCTGAAAATGCTAATTTTGAATACAATTTTTCTGAGTGGCAACAATCATGCATGCTGGAGATAAAAATCTGTTATATATCTAAAAGTGTTGTCACTGATCGCTTTCAAATTGTAGAGTTTGTTAATAAAAAATTTGTATGTTTTCCAAAATATGAAATAAAAACAGCACTGCCATGTATTACTATTATTATATAAGGTGATATTCTGACATTGAAAAAAGCATGGAATTGCATGTGACGTCATTGTATGTTGAAAATTTTTCGTTAATGCAAGCATTTTAAATAACTAGCTGCTGTTGGCAACTTTTTTCTTCAGGTTACACAATATGTTATTGACACATTAATTCTTTTATCGATATTAAAAAAGACTGTATTAAATTAAAATAGTGATATCATACATGATCTAAAATGCTTTTGTTTTCTGGTTTGGAAAAAAAATTACGAAATGGTTTTTGTTTCGAAGGAATAAACTGATTTCATTCATGTTGAAATTTTTTATGCATTTTTTTTTTCAGGTATACATAGAGCTTAAAATTTTGTTTTGGCTGCAGCTAGCAACTTTATGTACAGTAATTAAATTAACAGTTCATTTTATTTTCAGTGTTTCAGTGCATTTTCATAATTTTATTTAAAAGTATTCAATTTCTTTTACTGCATATTTACTTTATGAGTACAGTTTAAACTTTTCTAGGTATTTAATGTAATTTAGTTAAATTATTATTTTAGTGCAGTGCTATTTGTATCTCAATTTGTTAAAATGCCAAAATGCAAAAGAGGCATTTTGGGAAATGCAATAAGAAGACAAAGAGCTGAAATACAAAGTTATGGCAAACTACAGAAAATGAAGAAGTACCACTAGGAGATTCAGCAGGCGAGTACGACAAGAAAATTTCCGTCCTTAAGAAACTGAAGAAGAAACAACTAGGAGACTCACCGGTAAGCACAACGACAAGAACACTTACTACTTCAATAAATTGAAAAAAAAAATCAAGAGACTCAGCAGGCAAGCACATCAACAAGAAAACTTATGCACTCAAACTGAAGAAGAAACCAATAGGAGGATCATCCAAGAAGCAGAAATTCAAGAAACATTGCGTGCTCAAGAATCTTAAGCAGAAATGAGTAGAAGACTAAGCAGACAATAAAAAATAAATAAATAAATAAAAATAAAAAAAAAAAAACTCCGTGCTCGAGAACTAAAACAGAAACGAGTAAAAGAATCACCAGACAAGTGAATGTCAACAGAATATGCATGATGAAGACAGAAAAAGTTACAAGTAGATGAAGTACGTACACGACTTCCCAGCACCATCGTCAAATTTGAGTGGAAGAGTTAGAATGGATGCCCCTAAACGAGTAATGCAAGACGCTTCACGTAACAGACAAGTCCGATTTGAAGAAAAAATAGGCTTTGCATAAATACAGCACAAGATTCATATAGCACGTCTCAAAATGTAGGAAGATGTGGACTCGACATTTACATTGAAGAACACAGTCAGTTCAATGGGAGCTTGCTGTAATCTCTGCAGTGAACTCTTCTTTCTAGGAGAAAGATATGTACACTGCTTCCACAATGAAAAAATTGTAGAAGCTAAAATATATCCAGAAGAATGGCATAATTTAATGAATGAGAATCACTAATTTTCTTAACACTTGTTTGCTAACAAACATACAAGTACTTATAATTGTCTTAGTTTTGCTTCCTTGGGTGCCAATACAGAAATGCCTACAGGTTCAGGTCCCTATTATTTTAGAATTCAAGGTGTCATGTATCATTGAGCAAACCACCTTCATTCACCTCATCCTGATCAAACCCTTGGGCAAAGAATGAATATATTTGGAAATGTTGGTCTGAATGCTGGATTGCTGACACAATCGTAAGTAGTTTTCAGGATTGAGAATCCACATTGCAGAAGCCTACAACATTTGAAAAAATTTCAAGAAGGAACTCTATGAGAGCAAGGTGCTTAACTGCTGTTGCTATCCATATGTACACGAAGGGCGTAAGTATTGTTAAAGGGAAGCACAGAGGATGTTACAAAACTCTAAAAGAATATGAAGTTGCAGTTGTTTAAAGAGTGCAGATAGCATTCCTCCAAACAGAGATAATGTAATACATGCAAGAGGTGTTGGTCTCACAAATATCAGTACTTTAAATCTTAACTTGGAACCGATGAAAAATGTAATTTTCTTTCATCATGATGAGTTGGACAACAGTGCACAGAGTAGCAGCTTTATAGTTACAGAATGTCTGCATGACAACATTGGTACAACCCTATTTTGTATGGCCGGAAATTGTTAATCAAGTGAAAATAAAGCTGAAAAACTTCATATTGAAATGATTTCTTATACATTTTCTTTTCAGAAGTACATAGAACTTATAAATTTTGCTTTAGCTGCAGCCCACTAGTTCTGTTTGAATATGTTGATGCTAATCGTGTGACTGCTCGATACAAATATTAAAATTATGTTGATAAACAAGTTAACAATTCCCTTTAAGATGAGGCAAAAAGGATCTTGCCATGTGTCAGCTATTTGAATTGCCAAAACTGTTAATTATTGAAGCTATTAACTGTTAAAAAGCTATTTGAATTGCCTAGGACTGCACAGGATTTAACCACTTGATTCTTCTTTGAGAAACCACTCTCTCAGGAGTTTGCACATGTGATATTGTATGTACATACAAATAAATATACAGTAATAAATACACAGTAGTTTTTATTAAATTCAAGATTTCAGTTAAGAAGAAATGATTTCCAGAATATTTTTGATAATTTAAATAGTCTCACTGAACCCTATAAGCTTGAATTGATGAAAACCCATTGTATATATTATTGGGAATAAATTAAATAAGTTTTTAATATCTTAAGTACCTAATTAGTTTTTTTAAGTAGAATTTCTGATCTTATGAGTTCCCCCCCCCAAAAAAACGGAATAAGTTTAATATGTGTACAAGGCACAAATAAATTTCATATGTAACCATCACAAATAAAGGTATTTTAAGATACAAAAGGTAATTTAACTTTCAATAACAAAACAATCTTTAACTTAAAGTCTAAATATTTTAAAGCACTTTTAGGTTATATAATTTTAAAGGAAAATAAGGGATTAAACCATACTTAGTTCAAGATTTCCTACAGGTTTGTGTTCTATCCATACATCACCAGAAGTGGACTGAGACCTCCTGTGCCGGGGATTTGCAATAGCTACACTCTGAAAATAAACAATGTATCATAAAAGCTCTGTAACAATCAAACTTGAAAAAAGTCCAAATAATAAGTCTAGAAAGATGAAAATTCAAGCCATTGTCTTAATTCTATTGTCAATGAAAACTGTAACTATTTGAAATATTTTAGCATTAGCAAGATCTACAGTTTAGTTTTCAATTTCCCTTTGATACTGTTCAAGGCATTTATCATACATCTGTAGACTCGTGACTGTTGTCATTCGACAAGACATAAAATCTTTATTATCCACATAGCAAGCTGTTTAATCTTAGATGTGCTGCCACTTAAGATTTTTAAAGACTTTTCAAATTAAATACAGGGCTTTAGTAATTTAGCAGCAATACAAATACTTCTTAATTATTTATAGATTTATAAATTTAATAATGCATCTGTAATTAATGCAGATTTTGATATATTTAGTTCCCGTGGCTTATAATATATTTAATTCATTTGTGCAGATAATATATCTAATTCATTTGTGGAGAATATATCTAATTGGAGCAGATGTTGAAGCCTGGAAATTAAAATATTAATGTCATCATTGATGATAATAGCCATGCCACAGTCAATGATCGAGAAGGGGCAGTTGCACTAGTGAAGCACTATGCCAAAGTTAGTAGGCTCAACTTTAACAAACTTGATAAAATTTTAGCCAGATCACAAGAAATTGAATCAAATCTTGTCGTGACTTGCCAGCAGCCAGTCGGCTTTTCAATGGAGATTTCGCCTTCTCTGAATTATTGTATGCCCTTCAGAATTTGGACCCCTCTAAATCATCTGCACCAGACGGTATCCACGGACATTTTCTGTGCCATCTTGGTACAGAGAGAAACTTTTGTACATATTTAACTTGTCTTGGAAAACAGGTAAACTTCTGAGGCAATGCAAATCGGCCATCATTATCCCTACATGCAAATTAAGCAAGCAGGCCAGTTCTACAGAAAGTTATTGACCAATCGCTCATACCTGTACCACATGCAAGCTGATCGAAAATATTATTCTGAGTAGATTGATTCATCACTTATTAACAAAAAACTGCTATCGCCCAAGCAATTTGCTTTCAGAAGGGACCACAGTACTATTGATCAAATATTGCACTTTGCACAATGCATCAGAGATGCCCAGAATCACAGGCCAACTAAACACACTGTGGCGGCTTTCCTAAATCTGTCTAAAGCAGGGGTTCACAACTGGTGGTATGCAAGAGAAAAATAGGTGATATGGAAAGAAGCAAAGTATTTTTAACTATTAAATTCAAAAATTAAAACCCCAACATCCTGATTGAGTTTTTCTCTAACACTCGTAAATAAATGCGATCTGAGCTTTGTTAAGAGTGGTAGTGTAGCAGTGCTTTGTGGTGGTGGTACTAAAGGTTTTCAGTTTTTGTTTAGATGGTATGCATTAGTCAAAAGGTTGAGAGCCGCTGGTCTAAAGCTTTCAACAGGACTTGGAAATATAAGCTCTTAAATAAGTGCTATCAATATTTTGACATTAGAGGTAGGGCATTGCCCTGGATCTCAAACTTTTTGAATCATCGTACATTCTGTGTCAAATTACAAGAAACTTTTTCAAAATGCATCAGGAAATTCCCCAAGGCTCTGTACTGAGCCCTATCATTCTATTGTTGTTTATTTCAGGGACTGGAAAAAGCATCTATCTTTGCAAAGTCGCACTTTTTGCTGATATAATGTAGAGCAGTGGTTCTGATATTAATAAATTGGAACTTCAGATGAATAAATGTCTAGTAGCAGTTCAAGAGTTTGCAGACATCCACAAACTTAATTTTAATGCATCCTAATCCTCCAGCTGCCCCTTTACTACAAACAGACATTTTTATAATTACTCTCCTGATATTTCTCTGAATGGAGTGTGCTTGGACTGTAATAAACACCCTACTTATCTCATACTCACCTTGGTTCCCGAAGTAAACTGCAGTAAATATATTGAGAAATTGGCTGATAAAGCAAGAAAAAGACTTGATCATGAAGTATATCTCAGGTAGGGACTGGGGTTCCGATGCCTCTACCCTCAGAATAACCTACATCACCCTAGTCCACCCTGCACTTCAATATGTTCACCAAATCTATCAACCTCTACTACTAACCTGAGAAATCTGGAGAGATCACAGCTCAATGCGGCAAGAATTATCACTGGCCTTGGAAATAGTTACCCAAGTGATGTGGTTTGCTATAAGGTGGGCATCCAGCTTTTGCCAATGTGTTTTAAGGTGAACTCCTACAAGTACTTTAATGAGCTCAAGAGTTTCGGTCCTTATCAGACCTCAGCCTTAATTTAAAATTTGATAAGCAATAAATGCCTAAAGTGAGACAGTCTACTAAGCTAAGTGTGGAATTCAAATTTTATCAATTTTAATGTTGAAACATCTTTACCTTTTAGCCATTATGCTCCAGCTACTTCATTTAATCATGTTAACATCTGTGAGGAATTGTCGACTAATATTGTCAAGGACAACCATCATAAGGAACTCCTGAGGCAAATGGCTCTCGAAATCATAAATGATAGTCCTGCCCAGGCCTTTGTGATACATACAGATGGAAGTAAATCAGATAAGGGTAGAGCATGGAGGAGTATTTATAGTAACACTTCTGAGATATCAGATGCAGCATCAGAAATGTTGAACACTCTTCCATCTTCAGATCGTAACTTATCGCCATCAGCAAAACACTTGATTATGGTCTTTGTTCGACTAGGGACGTTATGTGGATTCTGACAGACAGTAGTCCATTCACTACCTTAAAAACTAACCTAAGATCTTGGGTAAGACTGGTCAGAATAGCATAACTAAACTTTTTGAGCTTGGACAACATAAATCAATATATCTCCAGTGGATACCGTCCTATGCTGCGGTGTAAGGTACTGAAATAGCTGATGATCTTGCAAGGAAAGGTTGTGATTTTTCTATGCCCACTTTCACTGATTCAAGACCATCTGAAATACATTTCCAAGACAAAAATAAAACAAACATGGAGTGGAAACTTTCTCCTTCTCACCATTGGTACATTGCTGAGCAGCCAGGCCTGTCACTACAGAGTAAGAGAACTAGCTCTTCAAATGGCCATGGCCAGATTCAGAAGCGGACATCTTCGATGCATGAAATTCAGTGAGAGGGAAGGACCTTTCCTTCGTGTATCTATTCCCTCCCTGCCTCTCCCGCTCACTTACTGGACTGTATAAGTGTCTCTTTTGGACAGCTGTCCGTAAGCAGGATGATGTCAGCGAGTCACTCGTGTGGCAAGGTCTCTTGGACTTGGTGCAGGTTTTCCTGCCCAAGGGCATTAGTAATAACAATTCAACTACATAGTCATTGCTAATATTTGCAATAGTTACACACCTTATTGAAAGAATGGCCAATTGCAAAATTGTTATGAAAGTCCAGGATGGTCACATACCTTATTAATGTATGTTTTATTTGTTTTTATTAGCTTTGAACATTATTTTTTAATGATTCATTTGGCATTATATAATTTACATATATTAAATACTGTTTTCATCTTTGTACAGAATGTTTTCTTTTATGTATAAACACATCTCCTATGCTCACATGCAATTTGGTGTTAATCAAAGTTTTACTTTTCTTTTCTTTTTTAACATTACCATTGCAATATTAATTTTCGGAAGCCAATATATAAGAAGTATAAAGATAGTTCTCACAAAATATAATATTCAGCATATTAAAGATATGTTTTAATATGAGATTTATAAAGAGCTCTCAAATTTGGTTTTGAATTTTTTCTTTTCTTTTTTTTAAGGTGGGAATGTTGATATTTATCATTCTCTGCAAATAAAAATCAAAGCAATCTTAAAAAATCAAGAATATAAATGATTAAAACACGTTATTAATTTTCATCTAATCTGGAATAAATCGTTAAAACTTAAAATCCTGATGAATATCATATTAGTTTTCCTTAAAACTAATAAATAATAAATAATCTAATGCTATACAAAATGCATAAATATATGCTCCTATTCCCCATTATTTTTCCTTTTTTGATAAATTAGAGTAATAATAATAATAAACAAGGTTTAAAATTCTATAAAGTTTGGCTAAGTATAAAGGATAACTAATTACAGAAATTTAAAAAAAAATTGAACTACTTTTTTTTAATAAAATCAAAAACATGTGCTTTTGTGAATTATCTGCAAAGCAATAATTTTTAGCAATGATAATTTAGACAAAATCTACCATATCTCAAAAATTTGTCCTGGAAATTATTATTCATTATTACATTGCTATGTCATATTCCTGAAATTAATGTACTACGGTTCTTTAAATATTTTCTAATAAATAACCAATTTTAAATGTTGAAAATTTGCATATATTTCATTCAATACTCTGTATTTTATGGTTTTAAATCGACACTGAAACAAACTTTTCATTTCTGCCAGTGAACATCTTTCTCTGTATATTGTCAAAGAGGTCTTAACTTATTGCATTGTCACATGTTAATTAATGTTTACTTTTATTAAATGCGCAATTTATTTATAAAAAACTATTGCTTGTAAAATTAATTTTATCAGAAAACAAGCACAGAAAGAAAAGCATTTAAACTTACTTTCTGAGATGTACTCGGTGGTTTATTTTCTTTTCCATGTGTATAATCAGTATCTACTTGAAAAGTAGAAGCACTCTGTTTGCCAACTCCAGACACAAAATCTAAATATTTAGAAGTAATCATTAATTGTTTAAAATTAAAGACTTGACTTACTAAGTAAACTTGCTCAGTTTAAGTATAAATACTGCTTTTAAAATTGCAAATGTACATAAATCCATAAGAAATATTTTTTCTTTTCTTTTTTAATGATTTACACTATGGCTACATTCTAGTTTTCCTGTGACTTGATTGCTAGTGGACCAGGCATTTTAATGATTGTTAGATTTTTGCAATATAAAGAGAAAAGAAAAAAATTCATGACATGAAATCTTTAAACAATCAATAAAAATCTTAATTACTTTTATCTAGAATATCACAGTTCCTCCACTGTTTATGAAAACAAAATCAAGAAATTTTCAAGATTATTTCCAAAAACTTGAAGAGAAACTGTTTTCTTTAATATAAATTAAGCTTTGCACATTTAATAAAAGAAATACAGTCTTCCACAATATAGAATGACCGCATAATATCAAATGAACTCTGCTTTTATTTATTGCTTATGAATTTGCATTAAGCAGTAAAAGAAAATGATTATAGTGAATTCCTGATCTTTTAAGATACCTCAACATTTTTAAGTAATTGATAAAATTAGTTAAATTTTAAGATTTTAACTATTTTAAGATGATTTTAACATTTTAAAATATATTTTAAAAGCAAATTCAACATAGTAATGAAGATAACAAAAAATATTTATTACTTGTTTCATATTACACTATACAAATTATATCTGACTGTTGATTATTTCTGATTTTCTTAATGATTTGTGTTGAAATTTAATTGAACAAAGTTTTTTCAAGTTAATGATTCCACTTATGATAAGCAAAAATAATTTTTTTCTTATATTTTAATTATAATTATCCTGGCTGTTGTGACCAATAGGCCCAACTTTGAACTCCAGGATGTTATGGTTGCCTATCTGCCCTCCCTTGTATATGTAATATTAGCCACCCCTGTGCAATGTTCTTAATGATGAGAACTAAATGATCAACAGAGTTAGCCATTCTCAGTGAATGCTTAATGAGTAACTGTTTGGTCGTTGGATTAAAAAAAAAAAAAAATGATTGCACATTTACATAAAGTAACACAATTTGCCCTACATCTTTCATATTAACAAAAAGTTTGGAAGTTACATACATTTTCAGTTCTAGAGAGAATTCTAGCATCTCTTTTGTTAAGTTTTGTATTTAATTTTTTAATTTGCTATTAAACAAACATATCAAACCAAGAACTTATTGTACAGAGACATACACTTATTTGTTTGTGATATTAATATTTACAGCCTTCTGCAACAATGGCTGACTCCATTATATGCAAATAGTTTACCTTTTATTTATGAAAAATGAATTTACTTTAGAGAATCAATAAAAATAATTCAAATGCATCCCAGATCTTTCGATATATCCTTCAAAACATCTCAGAAGATATTTGAAAAATAAATTTATGCAGTATATAATTACAAATAGCAAAAGTTAAAATTATATTTGTTATTTATTTCATGCTATGCTATATAGTAACAACTTCTTAAAATATTTGTTGAAAGACAATTGAACAGATTTTGCAAGTTTATAATTCCAGTTAGAAAAAAAAAATTGTCTTGTCTTTTACTGCATGCAAATATAGTGCCAAAATAGCTTTCACTTCCCTTTTAAAAAATTATTTGAAAATCTGGCTTTTATTTCTAGAGAGAATTATTAAAATTAAAATGTGCATGAATATATTTAATGGCAATAGGAAATTTCAGCAATATTTAATTCAATCTCCAGATTTTCCTTCTAAAAACCATATTTATTCTAATAGCATAGCACAATAACACATATTAATGATTCTCACCAACAGCTGATTTTGCTTTAGGAAATCTTGTTTCTGGTACTGAAGGTTCTTCAAGGGAAGATTTACGCCTCTTATAGGATCTTGTCTCAGGCTTAGTTGATTCATAAGTTGAAGTTGAAGTCACACTAGATGGTGTTGGGGCAGCAGCAGCAGCACCACCCCATAGGTCTCCATAATATTCCCAATCATCAGCATTAAGAATTTCTCGCAACTGACGAAATTTTTCATCAGTGATACACATTTTCCTTTCCAATTCTGCTTGTTTAGCAGCTAATCTCTTCTCCTTTAAAATACAGAAATATATAAGATTTTAAACATGAAAATGACAAAAAAATTTTCTTCTAATGGTCTACCCATATTATTATCATAGTACTTTCATGCTTTACTGTTTTACTTGCATTGAGAAAATACTATACTAGCTAAGGAAATAAAATAGAAAGACCTTAGGGGTAAAGTTGAATTTTTAGGAATATTTTTAAACATGCTTTATGCAACTGATTATGGCAAAGAACATGAACATTGAAGTCATAATCAAATTTACTAATTCAAGAAAATGGATCCAAATTTTGCTTTATATGCTTTGATTAACTGGACAAAGAAGGTCCAGTTTCTTTTAGCTAAATTTGTAGTTTATGTCATCAGATTCTTTAGATATATAATCTTTCCACCATCACAGTAAAAATTTTATGTTCCTTCTTGTGAACTTCCTCTTCTAAAAATTATATTATTGCTTAATCAAATCAACATTTTTAACACTACTACTGAAATAAAATATAAAAAGCAGAATAGCAAAGTGGTGCAGTACAAATAGTAGCTTTGTAATCTGATGCTCTATAATCTAGCAACTCTCTGATCTAACACACTTTGAATCTACCACCATTAGTGGGTTTGCCACTGATGGTACTGTCAGTAGCCTTCAGAATTTAAAATATGTTTGTGCTGCATTTGAATGTTTTGGTTTAACAATCTTGTATTCTCATATTCAACTGCAGTATAGCCCTTCAGAGGCTAATGACAAGAAATTTGTTAAATTCTGTTCAACATTTATTAACAACAATATTTAGTAGTAATTCTATAGATCAGTTTCATGTGCAACTTTCTAAGGTAATTAAACCTAATGTATTTACAACTGAAGCAGTTTTCCCCCCCTGGAGTTCCTTTGTTTGAATCCCAAATGCTTTTACTGATAATTCTCATTAAACAGCTTAAAGTTACATAAAATGTTTTTTACCAGTATCTATTAAACCTCCTGCTTAATTTGAATTTCAGTATCTGTGGCAATGAACATATGCATAAACTGCAAAAAAAATTCTTTTGGGGAGCTGTGATATCTTCATAGCAGAAATATACACATTCAAAATTATGTTTTTAATAACTATCCCAATAACCCTGTTCTGTGAAAGAGATTCGGTTTGTTTTAGTTTATTTGATTATGGCAAAGCACTCTAGGGTTACCTGCCTAAGGGGAGGGATATCTTCGTGGAGAACTTTCTAATGGCAGTTCAGCTGGGATTCAAACCCTGGAACGAACTACCAGTATTCAGTGACTTCACTAATTGGCCATTGATGGACTCTGTGGAAGAGATATATTGATGATATCTTTATCCACTGGGAATACCCAAAAGAATTTAAAACATTTTTTATTGTATATTTTTGGATAGAATCTCTGACTTGCAGTTTGCTGTTAACAGCAACAAAGAATAGAGGGAAAATCACATAAATTCAGTTAATAAGTAGGAACTTTTGCAGATGACCAGTTCCAGCTGATGGGTCATCTGCAAAAGCTTTTACATTTTCTGAAATTTAAAAGTAGTTTTATTGTGTCAACATAGAAACATTTTATCTCATTTTTAACTTTATTTCACTCTTTTCCCAAGACAGCATAACACATGTGCAGCATTATTCATGTTATATAACAAGTTAAATGCCAAATGACAACAGCTGTGATTGGAGACATTTTTGAAGAAACACATATTCAGTTTTTAACAACTGACTGACAGCAGTATCATCTTTAATTCATATAATTAGGCTCATTTTCAAACTGCTAAAATATATCTGTAAAGTTCCACTTAACAAAACCTCATTCAAGAACATTTCCTTCATGAGAGAGCTGTAGGAAGAAGTGATGTAGCAATTGAAAAAAAAAAAAAACTGGAGTAAAAGTCTACTTATATTTTACACAATTTGTTATCAGATAATTCTTATCATTTAAATGTTATTTATATTATATATATATATAAATGCAAGTTGTGTACCAATTTAATAATTTTTATAAGGAAAATGGATTTGTTGTTGTTGTTGTTGTCTGTCCATATTACATTAAACAATGGATGCTAGAGCCTACTCCGAAGAGAGGTTGGACTTCTACTGTCTGTCTATGGCAAGAACAGCTCTCGCCAGTTTGTCTGCAGCTGTCTATTGCTGTATAAACGAGCCCTGACCCATTTTTCGTAGGGATGTCTTCAAGATTTACTTCTCAGTTTGCCATCTTGGCGCGTGATTTGGCGATATTCACATTTTGTTTTAGTTTCAAGTAAAATGCTCGTTGACCCTTTGCGTCGACCCCAACATCCAATTTCCGAAAATGAAAATTCGATGGCATAGATAAAGCTTTTGCAGTTAAGAAACTGTCTTTGATTTTGCTGTGTGAGGTACAAGTCGCTGAATTTGCCACCTCTCTAGATGTACAATGAGTAAAAATATATCAAAATAACTTGTAGGGAAATAAAATTTTAAAATCCGTGCTTATTTTTGAAGAAAGATTTTAATTTTTACATTAAAAAAAATTATGCTATTATTTTGCTTCTTTATTGTTTATTTGTATGCTTGCGAAATCACAGATGACATCTTAGAAATCTACTTGATTGCCCCATTCTCTGTAATATAGTATAGACGCACTTCATAAATGTACAATAAATTAAATTTTTATAGTTCTCCCTTCTAGCTAATCTACTGTGAACATTCAAAGCAATTTTTTCAGTCTTTAAATGACGTTCTGCTATGTTTTTATTTCAAAATTCTCTGTTAATATATTGCTTTTGCTTTACTAAAAATTTCATCATTAAATGTATATGTAATCATCTGAAAGTAAAAGTGTTTATTTACATGCCTATGCTCTCAATAAATACTTTTTGCGAACATTTCTTCTTTTCCCATACCTTCAAACTAAACCAAAAGCTGGTCAATTTAATGGCGAAAGGAAGCGAAGGTGAATTAAAATCAAACTGCTTTTACCTTAATTACTAGTGACTTGGGTTGGTTTATATGATTACGGAAAGCCTCCAGGGTTAAATGCCTAAGAGGAGGGATGCCTTGTGGAGGGCTTCCTAAGGGAAACTGGCTCATATACATGTTAAATATGGGGAAAACTACGAAAACGCCCATGCAGCCAGCCCGTTCACAGGATTCAAACCTCAAACTGAACTACCAGTGTTCAATGACTTTACCGATCAGCCGTTGTGCACCTCTTAATTACCAGCGCCCATTTATATATTAAGCTGTTTTTTATAGATACTGATAAGCTAGTAACATAAATGCTAAAATCAGAACAAAATTAAGGTCTCTTAAATTATTCGGTTACCTAGTTTATATTTAAAATTATACGAAATTTATATAATTATACAAAATTTGGCTTTTATAACTGCAGTGAGCTTTGCATTAACATAATTTTTTATTAATATTTTCATAATAAAATGAAACTTATTTAATTTTTATTAAAGATTAAAAAATTATTTTTTAAGCAAATTATACCATGGCTTGTGGGTCCCCAAGAACACAGTAATGGGAAATGAAGCAACCATGCACTATTCTTTATTATCCAAAAGGGGGTTTTGCCTCTGCCGAAGGCTCGTTGTTGCCCACTTTTGGTAGTCTTTCATTTATATAGTGGCAAAGAAAATATTGAACCTAGAAATATCCTCATAACTTTAGAGAGTTATCAGATGAAGAAGAAGGATGCTTTCGTGGAAGACTTTTATAGAGGTATAACATCTGAAAAGTCGTCTGAATCACTGTCGCAAGATTCTGTTTCTTCTGAATCAGAATCGAAATTACTGCTGCCAGTTTGAATTATTAATTCATCCACTATCTCTACTAGAAGCTTGTCCTTGTCCCAACAAGAATATCCAAGCTTTTATGCGTGGCTGCAGTGCGACTGCCATTCTTGAGAACTGACTTCATCCAAAGCTTTTTGTGTTAAATTTTTCAAATTTTCTAAGCTTAAGCCCCCAGTCACATTTCTTTCCCTGTTCAGTCTTTTAACTGATGACCAAACATATTCAATAGTGTTTAGATCACAGTGGTAAGGAGGGAGACGCACAACATGATGCCCATTTTCTTTTATGATGTTGTCAATTTTATAGATTACTTTTTTAGGACGATTGCATTCTATTACGTTAACAGCTCGGCTTTTCGTATTTTGGGATCACAGCATATCGTCTTCTTCATCAGCCAGTTTGCCATTGTTTGCTTTGTAGCACATTTCGTGGGTGTCGGATTTTCAGTTTTTCTGTGATATAGGGCATTATCCATGCATACCACACTTTGGGGTTGTAACATTGGAAGAAGCTTTTCCAACACCCATTTTTCAAAATTCCCATAGTTCATTTGTCTATGGTAATCCCCACTTTGAGCTGATGCTTTATATACAAGTTGAGCACCTGGAACAAATCCTGCGGAAGAAGCCAGCATGAGCAACAATCAGTCTATTTTTTGAACTGACATTTATCTGTGCGCCCAAAACTGTATCATGCTGCCAACATTTCTTAAAAGTTAAATTGCTGTCGATCCAAGTTTCATCGATGTAAACGTGTTACGTTCACTTGCCCCAAGTTTCCTCATTTCGTGTAAATAATTGTTCCTCCAAAATATAATGTGAGGTACTTTGATAAGAATGTTTCTTTTGTTAATGCATTTCTTCCAGTGAAAATTCATTGAATGCAACGGGAAGTCTTTTTTTTTTTTTTTTTTCCTCAAGACAGGCAGTAATTTCTACACAGATGGCACTTTCTTTTCTTTGATGTAAATGTCTTGTATTGTCTGCTGTATTTGTCAAAATTGTCAATTTCGCACTTATGATTAGCAGGGCTTTTCTTTCCATGCGTATTTAGAAGTTTATTTTCATGCATTGTTGATAGTTCGAGAATAATTTTTTAAATTGTATACTCCAATATTCCATTAGCTTGCGATGCTCTCTTCAAAACTTGAGGAAGAGGAACTACTAAAGAGTTCGCCGAAGCTTCAGAAGTGCAAAATTCTGCAACATTGTACACGATTTGACATCCCTGAGACTTTAAAGGTTGACCTTTCTTAAACTGGAAGAGCATTTTAAAAAATTGGCAATTAACAAAGCACTACAAAAATGAAGCTAAATAGAAGCAAATTTTAACAAATACCAGTACAAAAGATATAACAAGAATAAAAATAGCTAAAAGTAATAATATAAGGTTTAAGAAAAGATGCATGCAGTGAGAATGAAACTGAGAAGACGAATGATAAACTCTTTTCCCCTCAGCCAACAATCGCCAAAACCAAATTAACAATAAAGCAATCCTTGGTTCGTCCCTATTTGAAAGCCCTGTTGCTATAGCGACTGCCACCAGCCAAACACCATGGTGGGACTGTTCTTGCCGTAGACAGTATTTTCCACCCCCATTTTGAGGAAGAGCACCACGGGGGAAATCGAAGATCTCCCACCTCTCTCCACTCCCTCCAATCCACACGAGAGGACTTTTGGCTCGCTGCATATTTAGAGTGTCGTCATGCCACACCGACACTATACATTTACAAACATTCATGTCTTCTCCGGGATTCGAACCCGGGCCCTTTGGTACCGTAATAGGCTTCCCTAACCACTATACCATTTGAACGACAATGGATCTGTTGGCAACATGGTATTTAATACTTAGTTTTGGCAACTTTAAAGAGAAATTCAAAAGTTGGGTTTTGAAAAGTGAATGTATGAGAAGTAACAGCTACAAAGAAAATGTATAGGAAATTTCTAGTAGTATGAGAGACAAATGTTGTAAATAATTAATTAATGCCAAACAATGTCTCTTTTTTTAGTAGCATCAACAACATACCTACCTGCCTATTTCTTGATCTATGTAACTCTTTATCTATTTATTTATTCTTTAGTCTGTTCATATAAATGGGCAGCTAATTGTCTGCCTACCTATCTGTCTGTGTAACTGTGCATCCTTACTGCAATGAAGATTGAGATAAAAGAACTGAGATTTGGAGGACAAGACTATACCATCTAGAAGCTATTTATGAAAATATTGACTACGGTAATATAATTCTCCATGTAGTAAAGTTTTTTTACATTAAACAAAACACAAAGCTTAAATTTAAAGCATATAATACCATCATTCTTCTCATGCGATCTTTTTCTAAAGCTAGTTTTTCTTGCATTTTCAATTTAACATGTTGAACTTCTTTTTCCTGCTCTGAGAGGATTTTATCTTTGGTGCTCATCTGCAAAGAAATAATTTCAAAATTTTTAATACAATAAAAGCATTAAAGAAATAATTTAATGAAATTTGTAAAACACTTCTGTGTTCAGAAAATAGTCAAATTTATATTTTGTAAGAAATTAATTATGAATACTCATTTTACTGAAATATTATGTGCATTCACATGCATTAATTAAATTAATAGAATAATTAAACACTTTATCTCACCTTTCACAAAGTACACAATTATAAGTAAATGCTTTTATTACATATATTTGAAAAATTTCATCACAGATCTGTTAAGAATATACTTCCTTTTTTACTTTCTGACAGACTAATTTAAAATTACATTTCAAGTTTAAAACTATTAAAAAGCACAAATTGTAAATATTAAGATTAAGGAATAGTACATGAAATGATTATAAAATCACCAACTTGAGAATGTTATTAGAAAAACCAAAATAGTTTTAAAACCTGAAATTTTGCAGCTTCTACTTCATTCTTGGCATCTGATAATTGTTTCTGTAAAATTTCTACACTCTGTTCTGATGCAGAAAGTTTTCTTTCCAAAGATCTAACTTGTTGTTCACGAGCATCCAAATCCATTTGTAAAATAGTTTTTTCCTATAAAAATTCATGAATGATGATGTACATACAAATCTATATAAAAGTATGTCAGTTTTATATTTAACTGACTATAACATGCATATAAAACTGATTCTAATAATAAAGTTTAAATACCTACCTGTTTTAGTTGAACATTTTCTTTATCTACATCCATTAAATTTTTTCTGAAATCTTCCTCTAACAAAGAAAGGGAAAATCAATTTTGAACAAATTTCTGTTTTTAGTTTCTATTCATTATGAAAACATATTTACAAAATATGAAATTCTTACGCCTTCTAATCAAGTCTTGAGCAAAGGAATTTCTACGTGCCATTCTATTCGTGAGAAATTCAATCAAATTTATATAAATTGATTCATCATCAGAAGTATGAACCTAGAGAAAAATATTTTTGATTTAGAAAACAAAAGCAAGAAGTTAAAAGAAATAAAAACATTTGAATTTTTTTTTAATGCAGTATAATATACAAGGTGGTAATTCTCTTTAGACAGTACTTCCTTCACAGCTTATTACAAATTACACATCAACTGAGATTCCATATGAGCAATATGTTCACGGTTTGCGTTTGTTTAAATTAGTTTATGAAATTATACAAACCAGAGATTTATAACATCTTAAAAACAGCATGATCATGCAATGATAAATAGCATTTAATAAATGTTTCACAGCTTAAAAAAATCACATTATTTTTTAAGATCAATAATTCATATCATTCTGATACTGTCTGGGCAAATACAAATAAGTGGCAAAAATTGCTTGCATATGGAACATATAAATTGCAATCATACACACAATGTTAAGAAAATTAAATGGATTTGATGTATTTTCATACTTTTGAACATACCAAAAATAAAATAAAAATTTCAGATCATCTTTAACATATTATTTGCATTTATGTTGAAAACATATTCATATTTTTAATGAATATTTTTGGAGTAAAAAAATTAAATACAATTTTAAATGCAATAATGATGTGGGCTGTAATCACATATAAGTATCATATTCTACATGCAGCTCATGTATTTTGACAAGCAGTAAATTCCCTGACCTAACTTTGTTTGGGCTTTAAAGCTCCAAGAGGATGGATACTTTTAATCATCCAAGAGGATGGATGATTTAAGTTGAATAATTTAAGTATTAAAAATTCATTTGAACTGGACCCAATTCTAAATGAAGTTCTTAATGGTTTTCTAAGAATTAAAATGATATTTAAATAACAATTCTTAAGAAGTTTATACCACCTTTCAAATCATGTAAAATATAGTGATTATTATACTTTATTAAAATATAGACTTACAATAAGCTGGGGAAATTCTGGACCCAAACTGTAAACTGCTGGTGCCAAAACCTCAGATACTGGAACTGGAATGCAGTTTATATTACAATTATATTAGCTTGATTTCAAAGCTGATAGTCACAATTAATATTTTTCTATGTTTATATATATGCAGAGAGAGAGAGAGACAGAAAAAAAGAATATGTAATTAAATTTAAGTAAAAAGATAAACTTAAAAAGTAATATCTATAACTTAATAAACTATAAAGCATAATAGTTTATATAAGTTTAAGTAAAAATATCTTTTTACTTAAAGTAATTTATATAAAAAGGTAAACTTTCAAAAAAAAAAGGGGGGAGAGAAAAAAAAAATGTTGTGCTGTTTTTGTCTTTGAAATGCTACTTTTACACTTAAAAAAAAAAAAAAAAAAAAAAAAAAAAAAAAAAAAACCTATAATATTTGCTTTCTTTATAACTATAATTCATAAATATGTACAAAAAATAGAAAGTACCTGCGTCCAAGCAAGACACTGAAAGATGGAAATTAAAAATTGTTCTACAATAAATTCTAAGCAACACAAATATTTAGATCAAAATTCTAAGGAGGTGACATATTGCTAAGAGTCCCATATTTATTCACAGATAAATCAAAAATTTTAAATGAAACATACAACATTTGAAATTTCGAGTTAGTTGGCTTTAGTAAAATACTGAAAACACTTGAAGGATACTTAAATGGACAATTAATTATGACTGTAGCACATAATTTGATAAATTTAAAGTATTGAGATATTCTAAAATATGACGCAATTAGGAGAAATACAATGTATTCCTATATCACACATTTTCGCAATTAGCTATTACATTCATTTGATGAGAAATTTGAAATCACATAAACTCAGTTAGCTTTATCTTAAGCCCACACTTTATTCAATGTACTTAGTTCAATAATACATGTGACTGTGTGATTACATACTTAATAGCAGCATCACATTTTACTACCATAAATTCTACATTTAACGCTTAGTCAGAATATATTTGATTGTGATGAAAAAAATCAGAAAATATAAGCCAATTCAATTACAGACTGACAACCTGCAGCATAAAAGGTAAATGTTGCATTTAAAAGATAAAGAGCTACTTTTAATAGAAGCCCTTATACTACTGTATCATATTATTATTCGATATGTATTTTGCTCGTTTCCTCATATTTACATAAGGCATGCATAATGGCAAATTATTCTTCTAATTTCTTATTTTAATCTTCATATTTAATTTTGAATATACTTCTAAAATATTTAAATGTCACATGCATATCAATTATAACATTACAACCCAGATTGTTTTAAAATGATGAGACTACTTGTAAGACTATTCATGTTAATTTTGGTTCTTTTTATGGTACACATAGGATTAGTTTTACCTCCTTGTTCTTTAGCACGTTTGATAGCTTCCCGATAAATATTGCCTCTTCCCGATTTTAAGCCCAATAGGGTTGGAGTTGATACTGGAGTTGGTCTTGTAATCAATACATCTTGAGTCATTTCAGCAAATCTCATAACATGCTGTAAAGTATTTGAATGTTAGTATGCATTACACTAGAGTGTCATGCGATTTCAAAATATAATATTTACAGATAATTACATTTAATATAAAAAAAGAGAAGAGTTACAGAGAAGAGAAAAAAGAGAAGAGAAACTACAGTTTATCTCTTGAAAGTTATCTAAATGAAACATGCTGTTCTCAATAGCCAGAATTTCAGTAGCATCAGTGATTAAGGGAAAAACATGGAATATTTTGTGTATAACACAAAAGTTAAAAAAATAAACTGTATGTAAAAGAAATCAAAACGACTTTTATAAATATAATTTGATTAATTACTAATTACAGATAGTACAAAAAATATGGTTTTATTTTCTTATCTTTAAAATACGTAGCTAGCTTGTATTACAACAAACCTCTAAAGAGAGATGAAACAATGCTGTAGCAAATAGCTATTGTATGGAATGTTACTCGAGAGGTAGGAAAAAAAGCTAGGGGGGAAAAAAACAATATTCTATTTGATCAGAATTTTAAATCATTAAAGAATTAAACTACTGAGGTAGTGTATAATTAAACTATTGCGATATTTGAAGTGTAATTCAAATTAACTAATTATAAAAAATTAAAATTTTACAGTAAAAATAACATGCCAAGCAGAAGTATTAGAGAATTCAAACAACAGGAATCATCACTAGTTTTTATGCACAGTACAAAGTCCGTAATCCAGACTCGTCGGGACTTCGGCGATTCCGGATTAGGGTTCCGAATTATAGATCATCAATTTAAATCTGGTAAGATGGCATGCAGAAATTATACAATTAAAAATATGAAACCGTAATTTATGACATAAAGAGCAATTATGATCTAAAGGGTATCAAATTTTACAAAAAAAATGCTTCGTATTTATTTGTTTACTTTATTAAACATTTCTTTCAACGCGCGCATGCGTAAAGCATACATTACACATAGTCGAAATTAGAAAATTGCAACCAGAAAACTATTTGATGTGTATTCGTGATATTTATAATGACGATGAAATTGATTTAAATCATATCAGAGTACATCGAGATGAAATACTGCATTTAGTAAGGAATTATAAGCCGAATAAAATAAAAACATCTGCCCTGAAGATGAGGATAGTGCTGACAGATCAACTTCCAGTTCATTGCGCGCCCCGCATTCTTTACGCGCATGCATAAAGCATACAAAAGAAAACGTTTGTGGCTTTGAGGTCCGGATTATAGATTATTCCAGATAATGGATGTCTGGATTACGGACTTTGTACTGTACTCCTGCAGCTGAAGAAGAAGGTTCTGTAGCCAAACTTTGAAACTAACATATAAAATTACTGACTTCTGATGCATGAACTATCTAATTAAAATTTTGTTAACTTATTTTGTTAAAATTAACCAATCCCAAAAAGCTTTGAATTTCCTGGACATTTCTGGGTCTTGGGGCTTTTTGCAATCGCTGATATTTTTTCATCAGTCTTATGTAAACCATTAGCATCAATTATATGCCCTAATCCTGAAAAAATTTACTTATCTCATCCTGAAAAAATTTACTTTTCTCTAAATTTAATTTCAGTCCATGAGTTTTACATTTCTCAAAGAAATTTTTTTAAAGTATTTAAATATGCGTCATCGTCCGCGCATCATCCAAGAAGATCTTACACCCTTCTATTCCATGGAATAGTCCATCTACATAACATTGCCAGATTGCCAGTGTTGCATTTAGCTCGTACATTAATCTCTTATACTTATATAATCCCTTCTGTATGTTTATTGTTAGCAATTTTTGAGTCTCGTGATGTACTTTCATTTGCAAATAAGCATGTTTAAAATCAATTTTCGAAAAATGCTTTCCCCCACTCAAACATGAAAATATTTCCTCTATAGTCGGCCAAGGGTGCTGATGCGTAACAATATTTGGGTTTACTGTCAAAGTAGTCAGCATAGAACCGACCGGCTGAACTACTGGTACTACCGGAGTTGCCCATTTCGACGTTTCAACCTTTTCGATTATACCCTCTTTTCCCAAGCGATCAATTTCTTCATCTAATCTGGCCCTTTAATGCAAATGGTACTTGTCTAGCTCTGCAAAATTTTGGTGAAACATTTGGCTTGAATTCCAGTTGAACCTGATAATTTTTTATCTCTCCTAATTTTCCGTCAAAAATCTCTTTATATTGTTCCAATAATTTATTTAAACTACTCTTTTGAGAGACAGAAATTGTTTCTATTGAGAACCAATCTAAATTTATTTCTGAAAGCCGCTACCAAATATTGTATCCAGGTTTTCTTCAGCAATGTAAAGATTTAAGTTTTTATTTTGACCTTTATATTCTACCTTAACTGTAGTAAGTTCTAAAGTTATCAGTTTTTCTCCAGTATATGTTTTAAATAACAGATTTGTATTTTTAATTTTCTTTTCCGAAGTTTGCCAGAAATTTTTTAAACTCATTACCGATACTGCACTACTGCACCCCCTGTATCCAGTTCCATAGCTACCGGTTTTCCTTCTATGTTCACTTTGACCATTATGGGCGTTTTCCTATTTTTCACCTCGCTGGAATGTATGCTGTTTACAGAAACTGTGTTTTCATTTCCTACATCTAACTGTTTTTGTTTCGCTTTCATTCTTTCAGCGTTTTTAGCATTGTAGCATGCCCTTTCAATGTGCCCGATTTTCTTACAAAATCTGCAGATACTTGTCTTAAATTTAGAAGAATTTCTATCATGGTCAGTCCCCGTACGTCGCGAACACAATTTTCTTTTAGCACTCTTAGCTGCAAAGCTTTGTTTTTCAAATTTTTGTTTTGGAGCAACTAATTTAGATTTATCTTTATTCCTGGCACAAAATTCCTTAATTTCCACTGGTTTCCCAATTATTTCATTTGCACCTTTTAACACTTTTTCCAAAGCTATTTTTAAAGTGTCATCTAAACTGATATTATCCTGCTCAAAAATTCTATCCAGAATAGCCCTATCTCTAAGCCCACTAACAAATACATCCCGCAACATCGTAATTAACACGTTCTGATCGTAAGCACACGGTGTGGCAAGTGACCTTAACTCTACCATATACATACTAATTGTTTCCCCCTCGTGCTGCTTTCGATTTAAAAATATATGTCTGCTAGGAATTATGAGTGGCTTAGGATTTAAATGTTTTCTTAATGTTGTTTGTAACACATCATAATCTTTATCAGAAGGATTATCAGGAGCCAGCAAGTTTTTCAAGAGACTATACATTTTTCCGGACAAACTAAAACTCAGTACTTTCCCACGTTATCCTGTGAAACATTTTGTATATCTAAATAATTTTCGAATCTCTCTAGAAACGAATCAAACAGTTCTTCGTGTTCATTATATTTTTCAAACTGAACTGAAAGTTTCGAATTATCCATTTGTGGAGTAATAACTGAAGTAAGTCTCTCCATTAGAGCTCTATTCTGCACTATTAACTCAGTTACAAGCTGCTCCATGATCTTCCGATGGAAAAATGATTATAAAAGTTTTACCTTGAGCAGTCTTCGGGAAATCCCTTAAATCCTTATTGAGATTGCATTAGGCACATTTTTTTTTTAAATCACCCATTCTCGTCACCAGCTACCATGTATCCTTTTGTGGGTAATTATTTCACAAGACACACTCTTTTAAACTGCATGCTACTTTTATTATATATACAAAATATATCATCACTCGCATACACACTTATATCTACAGATACTCGCATTCCAGTCCTTTTCCTTATTACTGCGTGTGCTGTGCCAGCTTTTAGTCTGATTATGATATACCACATCGATAGTTCCCGATATACCACACATACTATTCAGAACTTAGCTTAGGATGATAAGAATTCAGATTGGTTAATCAAACAATGAGTTTAATCATTAACTTAAGTTTTATAATTATTGACAATCTTAAATTATGTGGTCTGGTTACCAATATATTTTTAACGTGATAATTCAAATAATATGGATTTTAACATAGTAATAAAACTATTTTTCAACTACAAAATGCAAGTACCTTTCACCCATACATACTAACGGTTTTTATGATATCAACTTTTACTGTAAACTTACTGTTGTTTCATCATAATCATCAGCTCGAGGATTTATACAGACAATCATTCTTATTCTTCCTTCACCTTCAAAAAATGTTTTGAATAAATGAGTAAGTTTACTCTCTCGATACGGAACCATCTAAAAATGAAAGCAATATATGAGTATCTGCAGAATATTTAAAAAAAAAAAAAAAAATAGCAATGTGAATCTAAAGAAAATATCACCTTTGATGCTCCTTGAGTTTGTGATTCTCTTAAAGCTTCAATGCAAGTTCTCAAAGCCATCAATGAAGCATTTATATTCCCTGCAACACAAGCCACATATTTTTTTCATATAATTATCATAAAATGGTATTAAAAAATGTTCAATGCAAAAATGTTTATAAACTGATTGTAACCAACTTAATGAATAAAACATTTTGAATTTGTGTGGTTTAATAAATTATTAACTATTGTCTGAACAGAATAGATGTAAAATGAAAAAATATTTACAATAAAGATGTTAGTTTGTTAATCAATATATCAAGAAAAAATATGTCTAAAATGTTAAATATAATATAAAGTGAGTATCTACACAGAAAAAACTCACTCTTCGAGATGCTTAGCAGGAAAAGTGCCAATTTATGGAAGGTTAATTGAGTAACTGACTAAACAAAACTAATGCAGGCTATCTGCTTTAGGATGGATAAAATCATGCAAAACTTTCTTATGAGAACCAGGCTGCATAAGAAGGAAAACTCTAAAAACTCTATGCAGCCTGCTTTTAGGCCAAGAATTAAACAGCAGGCAATTTACCTTAATGATAGGCAAATTTTGCTAATGGGAATCAAAAGTCTCAATTCAGAATATCAGTCTTTACTATTTCACTATATTACATACATGCAAAATTTTGGGAGATATAAAAAAATTGAACAACTCAATCTTAATAAATTATATGGCACTACTAATAATGACAGACAGATCATTCTTCAGGTGAAGACTAATGCTTTGAAAAAGTCATAATTTAATTGAAGTTTATACCACTTTAAGGCCATAAAAATGAATTTTCAAAAATGGGATTTAATTTTAAAAAGAAATCTTGTAATTATTAGCAGTTTCTAAAATCTTAACTCAAAAATATAGAACTGATCAAAACATGCTTATTCTGAGCTTCTCAATCAAATTAATATAAGCACAATCCACCTTCACTTATGAGTCCAATAAACTCTGCAAGATAATCCTAGAATTAAGTCTCAAGTACAGTCAGATATCATTCACTTGTTAATTTCCAAACTCTTCGTTTCCATTCATCAACTATGAGAAAAATGGTCCTTCCCATGCACAGAATTCCTTGAACAATGCTTTTTCTTAACTGTGCATTAAAAAAATTTGGAAGATTCAAACACAGAAGCATTCTCTGCATGTGATAAGTTTCAGGATCCCACCTACTGAAAACAGGTTCCAGACCGCCAAAGCAATAATGTTAATTTTGTTTTACATCATGAGTGAATGCTATTTTGATATAAATGCAACATGGTCTTGGTCAAGTTAACTGCTCACCAGTTCTAGTAACAGAATCAATCACTCCCATATATTCAATTCAAAAGGAGGAAGCTACTTAAAGGAGTACTTAAAATTTGAAAAGAAATTTTTGATACGAATTTCAACTCTGAAAAAGCGGATTTTTAAAAGTCCAGTATTTTTAAATAAATTACAGTATTTAGAAGTTGACATCAAAATGCATATATTTTTATTTAAAAGAATGAACTTGACATTATGCTTCAAATAATTCCCACATAAATGGGTACTAAAAATAATGATTTTTGACTCATCTTACAACTTAAAGATTATTCTGAGCTGCCATTTTGACTGCTACAATTTTTTGCAATAAATCAGCTGTGATATCTTTATGGCAATGACTCATTCTTTTTATCTATTTTCTAATATAAAAAGAAACTTCCAGTTTTGCTTAAACAGGGAACTCTTTTTTTTTTTTTTTTTTTTTTTTTTTTTTTTTTTTCTGTTCCCCCGTCTTTTTGCTTCTTTTAGGTAACTAACTTAGATATTACTATTCATTACAAATTATAAAAGAGTGTCATTCAATTCTGCTTTTTGTTTATTGAAATAACTAAGCCTTTAAAGACACCTGAAATGAGATAATGACAAAAGTGTTTCCTTATTATGAAATAGTATGAAAATGGCACATGCATTTTTAGACAAAATTATTTGACATATGTTGCCCTATAATGTAAAATGTCCGACATTCCTTTTTATTTTTTAACTATCATTACTATTTTTAAAATAAAACTGATACCGTTTTCAAAAAACTGTTCTTCATATGATCAAAAATTTCAAAATAAATTTCAACTGAAATACAGAAGAAAAAATATAGATGCCAGAAGTGGGAAAATTGCTATATTCATAAAAGCAGTTAAGTTAAAATTATCTGCCTTCATCATATTGAATAAAAACATTAAAAAAATGCACAAAGCAAACCAGAAAATAATAGGCTACAACAAATGGTCTTGAATAGAAGCAAAACTTAAATTTCTACCAAACGTTTCCAACTAAACAAAAATGACCCACCAGTAGTAGAGCGGTAAAGTCACTAAACACTGGTAGCTTGGCCCAGGGTTCAAATCCCGGTGAACGGGCTGGTTATATATGCGAATTTATGTTTTTTTCCATGTGCAACATGGATCCCTCCCCTTAGGTAGATAGCCCTTGTGTGCTTTGCTGTAATTAAATGAACTTAAGTAAAAACCAACTAAACAAATAAGAGGTAAATATTGTTGCCAGCAGGTCTTAAACAGCAGCTAAAACTTGGATTTTCTCCTGTTTCTAAATATTCCATGCACATGATGAAGAGGATTTCCAACAGATGAAAAACTGCTTATTTTTCCCCTTATAGTTGCCAAACAAGAAAAGTTTAGCATTTTTAGCTATTTGAAATATTTAAAAATAAACTGTTAGTTTCAGTTCATTTCTGGGTTTTTCACAATATTTTTATTCATTCCTTTAAGATTCATAAAAAGTAACTAAGAACAGCATAATTACAACAAGCAGGAAAACTTAAATATAGAAATTTTAACATAAAAACTAGAATAACAGTTATACAGTCAAAAGTCTTTAATCCGGACTCGTCGGGACTTCGATTCCGTATTATCGATTTTTCCGGATTATAGATCATCAATTTAAATCTGGTAAGATGGCATGTAGAAATTATAAAATTAAAAATATGAAACCGTAATTTATGAAATAAAGAGCAATTATGATCTAAAGGGTATCAAAATTTATAAAAAAAAGCTTAATATTTATTTGTTTACTTTATTAAACATTTCTTTCAACGCACGCAAGCGTAAAGCATACATTACGCATAGTCGAAATTAGAAAATTGCAACCAGAAAACTATTTGATGTGTATTCGTGATATTTATAATGACGAGGAAATTGATTTAAATTATATTGGAGTAGATCGAGATGAAACACTACATTTAGTGAGGAATTATAAGCCGAATAAAATAAAAACATCTGCCCTGAAGATGAGGATAGTGCTGATAAATCAACTTCCACTTCATTGCGTATCACGATGTCCCCCCCCCAAAGCAGCGTGAAATTGATAAACAGATTTCAGAATGATTAGGAAAACAAATCACCTCTCTGTCACGTTCTTCATGCCTTTATCTATCTTTTACAGCAGTTCCATTTTTTTTTAATGGACATCGAAACATGCTTTCCTGTAGATCCTTTGGCAGCTCCAGAATCGGAAACTCTTTTTGACATAATCGAAAGTTCAAGCTTACTTTTTATAAAATTGCTCTAACAGTCTGCAAAAAATAATAAGCCGGATCCAATTCGAAGATTAAGGAACAACGCAATCTGCAACATTAACTGAAATAGATAATTTTAGCTTGGCTTATACCGTCTGTTATACATTAAATGCGCATGCATAAATGTATTATGCACATGCGCAAACTCATATGTGTAAAGGTATTTCGCGCATGCGTAAACACATTATTCGCTTACGCATGTGCAGAAAGTTTGTAGCCTTGAGGTCCAGATTATAGATCATTCCGGATTATGGACGTCCGAATTAAAGACTTTTGACTGTATAAGAAAAACAAATGTGATCTAAGATTAACTCTGCTACTCATTAACATCATACAAGACCTGCTTCACGTAGTTTTTGTCCTGTATTCCTAGTTCTCAGTGGGCGTTCACTGCCTGCAAGATCAACAAGTGATAACTGGCTGACAACTACTTGATCTTTATCCTGAAGTAAAGGGAGAAAAAATACTAGATTAAATAAGAAGGTAGAACCAAAGAAGTAAAACATTTATTCTTCTCATATATTTATTCAAAACAAATATGTTAATTATAATTTGATAAAACATCCTATACTTTTCTAATTAAAGCAGTTACTTTTCCATTCTATACATTAAATGCAATTTACTTCTTGATTTTAACATTCAAATACTATCCTAGCAAAATCTCAGAGTCACACAGTTTATCGATAACCTCAACAGGTTACAGGCTCGGCATGTTTCAAATCTGCGTGTATTTAATATCTGCTAAAATTTTTGAAAAGCAAAGTGAACCGCGTGCTAGACCTAACAGCAAGATGCTATGGATTTGAAAGTACAAATCGACAAACTAGAAGGTGCAGAAAATTGGAGCAAGTGGAAGTAGCAAATGAAAATACACTTTGAACAATATGCTCTCACGTCAATTATTGATGGAACTAAAATTTGTCCGGTCGCTGTAAACGGTGACGTTATTGCGGATGAGCATGTGAAGAAGGTGGCTGAATGGCGGCGTGACAACACTAAGGCAGCTGTGCTTATTGCAAGTACATTGAGCGCTTCTGTAGCCGATTTAGTGATGAAGTACTTGAATGCAAAGGACATTTGGGACAAATTAATTAATGTTTTTGAGCAAAGCAGTATTCAGAGACTTAATTTATTGATGACACAATTTTTTCAAGTCGGTAGAGATCCTAATGACAATGTTTGGTACATGCAGCTAAAGTTGAAAGAATCTATACGGATATGAATGATGAATTAAATCGTATTGGATCAAGTAATATTCCAGAAGAATTATTGCATGGCAAAATATTGCTTACTGTGGGTCCAGAATTCCAAGAATTCAGCAATGTTTGGGAGTCTCTAGACTCTGATAAACGAACAACCAAGAATCTTGTTGAAAAATTGTGTACAATTGAACAACGTGTTAAATCTAATGCTGCTGTGGATTATGGTGCATTTGCAGCTCGTGTGCCTGGTTTTAAGCAAAAAACTGTGAAAAATGGGGAAAGACTTCCTGAAAGTACTCCTGTAGGTAATAAATCTAGTAATTTCAAGCAAAAGAACTGTTTTAAGTGTGGTTCGAATACACATCTTTGTAAGGACTGCCCTAAGAGAAAGTCAAATGTCTCAAAGCATAATAAAGGTGCATTTGCCGCTAGTGCAAACAGTACACACCCTGATGTTTGGGTCTGTGATTCTGGTGCTTCACACCACATGACTGCTAACAAACAGTACAAACATTTTCCTGTGCCCATTGAGGTATCACTTGCTGATAATAACAAGATCTATGCATATGGATCTGGCAGAATAAACATTGAAGTTTGTATTCAAGGTAAATGGTATGATGCTCACATGGAAAATGTCTGGTATGTCCCTGATGTGAAACGGCATCTATTCTCTGTACAACAGGCTACCAAGCACGGAGTTGAAGTAAAAATGACTGAAAGGTATGCTGAATTTTTTCGTAATGAAGAACTTGTTGCAGTTGGATCCTGGAGAGATGGCACATACATTATGTCTATGAGGGTTGTTATCCCAGCAAGTCCAGCTGAGATAAGTATTGCTACAGAGACTGAATCTTTGCAACTATGGCATGAACGCCTTGGTCACCAAAATAAGCGGCACGTTCGAAAACTGCTAACTGATATGGGCATATCTGTAAGTCATGCAGTGACAAGTGAATTTTGTGATGGATGTGCTCTTGGAAAAGCTCATCGAAAACCCTTCAAGTCACGTCCCTATAGAGCGATGTCAACTGGTGAAATCATTAATGCTGATGTCAATGGCCCTATGTCTGTGGGCTCCTTTAGTGGTGCAAGATATTATGTTTGCTTTAAAGATGACTATAGCAAATATCGTAAAATCTTCTTTTTGAAAAAAAAAAAAAAAAAAAAAAAGTGATGTTAGTTATTATCTACGTATGTTTCTCAATGAAGCCACTAATCTTGGCCATGTTGTGAAAAGTTTCCGTTGTGATGGAGGAGGAGAATTTGACTGTGGTGAAGTTCAAAAGATACTTGCTGAAAAAGGTATAGCACGAACTCTCAGTGTACCATACTCACCAGAGCAAAATGGCGCAGCAGAGAGGGAAAACCGAACAATTGTTGAACTGGCTCGTTCTATGCTTGCAACAAGTGCATTGCCTCGGTCACTTTGGGCCAACGCATGTGACACCGCAGTGTATCTGCTAAATCACACTGGTTTATCCCCAGATGAAAGCAAAAGTCCTCATGAGCTTTGGACTGGTGAGCCAAAAACTAAACTTGACCACCTGAAAGTATTTGGAACCGAATGCTATGCACATATACCAAAGATCTTCAGACGTAAGTTTGAAGACAAAAGTGTTCGTGGTCATTTTGTGGGGTATGTAAACAAGAAAGATGGTTATAAGATCTATCTGCCCTCTCAGAAGAAAATCATAAAATCTCGAGATGTTGACTTCAAACCAGAACGTTTGTACACCACTCCTGTGACAGTGGAGGTGGAGGAAGACTTAAATGAAAGGTATGAAGAAACTCGGAGTGAAGAACGTAATCTTTCCAAAGAACAAGAGCCTGTTAGAAAATCCGGAAGAAACCGAAGCTGTCCTACATGAATGAAATCCGGAGAATATCTGATGGCAAACATAGCTGCAGTAGAAGAATTTGAAAACAGTGAAAATCCATCCACATATTTTGAAGCTCTTTCCTCAAGTGAAAGTGACTTGTGGCTAGAAGCCGTGAAAGAAGAAATAAAAGCCCTTCATGAAAATGAAACATGGGAACTTGTTCAGAAACCCAAAGGTTCCAAAATTATCAACTGTCGATGGGTGCTGAGGAAGAAATTTAATCCAGATGGTACTGTGGAGCGACACAAAGCTCGTCTTGTGGCCAAGGGTTATGCCCAAAAAGCAGGCTTTGACTACGACAAGACATTCAGCCCTGTTGCAAGATATGACACTGTGAGAGCTGTTCTTGCTGTGGCGGCAAAAGGAAATTTGTATTTGCAGCAGTTTGATGTAAAGACTGCATTCTTGTATGGAACCCTTAAGGAGGAAGTGTTCATGACACAACCAGAAGGCTTCAATGATAATAGTGGGAGAGTCTGTAAATTGCATAAAAGTTTATATGGACTCAAACAAGCACCCCGTTGCTGGAATCAGTGTTTTGTGAATTTTATGAAAGACCAGGAACTGGAAGTTAGTACAGCTGATCCCTGCTTGTTTATCAGACACAGAACTGACAAGAAACTTCTTGTTGTTATCTATGTAGATGATGGCCTTGCTGCTGGGACAAAAGTTGAAGTGGAGGAGTTTATGAGTCAACTTGGTCATTCTTTTCAGATCACAAGGGTTCATTGAACCAATTTCTAGGTATGAACATAACAAGATTGAATGATGGTTCAATTTTTGTGAATCAGTGTGCCTATTTGAAAAAGTTCTCTCAAAATTTCATATGGACTCCGCCAATCCAGTGTCAACTCCAAGTGACAAAAGCTTTGTTTTTGATGACACAGAAAACAAACTGATAGGGAAAGAAGTCCCTTATCGCCAGGCGGTTGGCAGTCTGATGTACCTTGCAACTGCTACAAGACCTGATTTAGCTTATGCTATAAGCATTGTTTCTGAAAATCTTGAAAATCCCAGGACCTCAGATTGGTGTGCTGTAAAGCGAATCTTTAAATATCTAAGAGGAACTGTAGATTTTGGCTTGTTATATCAAGCAAAGTGTCATCCCAATGAGCTTGAAGTATACAGTGATGCTGGTTATGCAGGTGATTTAAAACCAAGACGCTCAAGAACTGGAATGGTCTCTAAATTTTCATGTGGAGCCCTCTCGTGGATGAGCCAAAAGCAGAAGAGTGTGGTTTTATCTACTACAGAGGCCGAATATGTTGCTGCGAGTGAGAGTGCTAAAGAACTAATTTGGCTGAAACATCTGCTCAGCAACATAACAAATATCGAAACTCCCGCTCTTCTGGTAGATAATGCTAGTGCTGTGAAACTTGCCAAGAATCCTGAATACCATAAATGGTCCAAGCACATAGATGTCCGTTATCACTTTGTGCGAGAAAAATTTATTGATGGTGAATTGTTCATCAAGCATATTCCTGGTAAAATGCATTTAGCAGACATCATGACTAAACCATTGCCTAGTGTTAGGTTCAAAGAACTGTGTACCTTGTTAGGACTGTTTTCATTTAATAGTCTTGTTAATGAATGTTAATTTAATCTTAAATAAGTTGTGGCTTGTGGAGGAAGTATTGTAGTAACAACTCAACTTTGTATCACACAAGCCAACAATTCAACTCTTATGTTTACTGTAGTATCCCAACTGTAGCATGCAGTAATAAATGGTTACGTTGCTGGCTCTTAATATGCATCTTATTTTTTATACTTAATTAATTGCTTTTTGTTTTAGCCCATAGATGGTATTTATCGATAACCTCAACAATTGTGTCAAGAAATCACCTTTAAAAAAAAATACATTTAAAAAATACTACATTTATTTCCACTTAAAGAAAATTTTAAAATGGAGAGTTAAAATTTCACAATTTTGCAAGATGCAGTTTATTAATAATCACAAATATGAGTAATTCCTATGATACTTATAAAATTAAATGATCTTACAGTGACAAGACATACCTTCATTTAATATAAAAAATCAAGAATCAGTTTATAGAAAAATAAGAATGAACATGCAAATAAATTTCAGCGTGAAAGCATCTTTAAATAAAAAAATTTGAAAGCTTTCAGATTTTACATTACGCTCAAAGGGGCATTTTTTTTTTTTTTTTTTTAATGTTTTGTCTGTTACCTTTATTTATTAAATATCATTTTCTTCGCACTTAAACCATAAAATTCAGTTTAACAGCAATATCGCAAAATAATTTTGAATTTAAAAATTTTTCTTTTCCATACAATGTTGCCATTGCTCACTTTAAAATAGTTGAGTTTGGTAATCAAAAATTCATTAAAGTTTTACAAAATATGAAATAGATATAAAACAAATCCCAAATTTGGGCTTCCAGGTGCTTATATTCAGGTGAAAACATACATTAAGAAACATACATTTATGCAGATTCTTCATTATTTAATTTCTTTAAGTATAATACAGGGCTCTAATATTTGGTGGCAACAATCTGAAAAGTGAAGCAGACATTTATAATAAACCGACGCAAGATGCCGTTTCGAGACTAATAGCCCATATGGGCTAACTCTATCCTCCTCCCTTTAAATATTTTAAAATTTAAAGTCAGATTTAAAAATGTTTAAAAATGTTTTAAAATGTTTAAAAATGTTTAACATGTTCAACTACTCAATTTGTTAAAGAATCAGAGGCTTGCCATTATTCAAATATTAATTTAATACCAAAATAAATGTTTTAAGTATTAATACATACATAACTTATTTGTCACAGTTAATATATATATATTATCTTCTTATTTCAGTGAGATACTTAGATTATATTCTGTGAAAATGTGTGTGGTCTATTGTCAGTAGAGTTACATACAATTCATTATAGAGACTTTTCAATAATGATCTCTTTAAATTCTTGATAATAGGCATAAAACATAAACTTTGTTCACAATTTATAACTTTTATTTATTTATTTTGTGTGTGTGGTTTTCCAGAACCGAGATCATGGATAACTGCAGGAAAAGTTTCCATTCAGAGATTGCAATCTTAAACTCAACTGCAAGGGTAAGATAACTATTTTTAATCAAACCTCTATTCATTTAACTGATATATAAAATGCCATATAATCTAATGAAGATAAAAATGGATTTCAAACCCAATTCTCTTTGCAGTCTTTAATTCAAATGAAAAATAAAGCTTTATCTCAAGAATGTACAGGTCTACAAGATCTTGTTAGGTAGGCATGAAGCGTTGGTCCCCAAGTCCTTGTAGTTATTCTTTAGAATTAGAATTTAATACCAATTAAACATTTCAAGGGAACCATTTTCCCTCATATCTTATCAAAGTGGAATTTTGTTTTTAAATCCACTAATTTTATCAGTACAAGTCACTATATTCTCAAGCAATTTTTTTGATTTAGTTAGATATTCATACATATCAGCTAAATAGGGCATTATATACAACCATGGATTGTCTTCCAAATTAGCTGAATACACAGAGTTATCCTCCAAAAATATTTCTAATTATTTTAATTCATGAACTCTGGACACAACTCTTGACAGCCTAAAAGCTTAGGTACAAAATAACATAAATTAATGATCTAATCCATTTAAAAAAAAAGAGAGAGAGAGAGAAAGGAGAGGAAAGGAAAAAAAGAAAAGATGCAATTGAAGTGGTCTACTTTGACTACATTCACCACTTTTATTATGTTATTAAGTATGAACTTTCATTCTAGAGATAAACTCAGGGCTGCCACTAGCTCAAAATATGAAATACTCAATAACAATGAATGCATAAATAACGAAATGGAAACTGATAATTCAGAAGTACCCACATCTAAGAAAAATAAGTATGTACACGATCCGCGCAGAAAAATACCCCTGCTAGTACCCCCTGCCCCACAAAAAAATATTAACTGACATGACTTTCATAAGGATATTAAAGAAAATTTAACAATCTCTAAACTAGAAAGTAAACTGGATGGTTACAACCTTAAAATTCAACTGTTTAGCACAGAAGATTTTTACCTCGTGCAAGATACTTTAGAGAAAGAAAAATCCCTTCTCACACCTTTCTACTGATAAAAATCTCAAAGCAATCATCAAAGACTTAATGACAGGTATCCCAGTTGAAGAAATTAAACCTAAAATTTAAAATCACAATATTCCTGTCTTAAATCGCTAGCAACTCCAAAGGATGAAAGATAGGCCTTACTACAGGTCTTTTACATCGAGACTCCTAAAGAAAAATATTTTCCACATCTCACATATTGCAGACATGAGAGTTAAAGTTGTAGGCCACAAGAGTAGACCTGGGCCAGTGCAATGTTTCCAATGCCAGCGATATGGACACGCTTAGTACGCATGTTTTAATATCCTTAGATGCGTAAGATGCCTTAAAAGTCCTAATTCCTATGAATGCCCTGTAAAAGTGAAAAAAGATATTCCTGTGAGATGCGCTGGTTCCTATGCGGTCACCAGTTCTGATTGTCCTGAAGACCTCAGCAACAAAGTAAAAAATAGCAAGCAGAAGCCTATCTTTAAAAATGATTTTCCTAAACTTGCCGAATATACACCTACCTATTCTGACACTAACTAAAACACTTAAAACTTATGCAGATGCATTAAACTCTAAAAAAGATGCTTCCCAGCAAGAAAAGATTAACATATCCAACATTGGAAATTTCCGATGAATTTGAATATCTTATTTTTAAGTTAAAAAATCTATACAATAAATTTAGCAACATAAATAACAACAGCGATAAAATTGAATTTGCTCTGAAAGCATTTCAGTACTTCATGTAAAAGTTTATTCACCATTATTCAGAACTTAGCATTCTGTAGGCCAGCGAGATAAACCCTGGACTTGTTTTTTGCAAAGAGATTGTTAGTTCGACCCCATTCAAAACTTGATAAAAATAACTGGGACTTGTACATATTTTATTTTATTCATTTTACTTACTAGTGTTTTACATTATTTTTATGTGCTTTTTGTATTTTTATCATACTTGTTTCCAACTATTTAACAAAGAATTTATTTTCAGACTTGTGATATCTCAAAGATACAATCTCTCTGTTTCCTTATCTCCACTGATGACTGCCTATTCAGTGTTATTGCTTAATTTAAAATACTGCTTTTTATAATTGCTTATTCAAGAAATTGCTTGCCGTAATTGAAGTTAACAATAAAGTCTATCCGTATTTTACCAGAAATCACGAACTATACTTCTCGAGGTCATTTTAATATGTGACATACAGAAGTACAAGCCAGCAGGCTGAAGGCTTCTTATTATGATTGATGATCTGTGATATGTAATGAGGATTGCTAATCAAACAGGAGCCTGGAATTCGCTGACTTTTCCAAGTATTTCAAGAAAACTCCAGGATATCAGAACATAGTGCACGTTGGCTGTGCTGAGGGTAAATTAATTATGGCTCCAATTGAAAACACGAAAATGTTTGCTAATGACATATGACTTTATATATGTATAATCCTTAAAGTATTACTTTTATAACTATAATAGGAGTTGTTTTCTCCACTGAGGATTGAGATTAGAATCTGCCCAATTGAGATTTTAATAAAATGTCTTTTTAGCAGACATTTTTTAGCTAAAGAAAGAAAAAAAAATCTATTTAATGATATTTTAAAATGAATTTAAGTATTTTATATTTATTTACCAGCATACATAAGTAAAAAATATGTTCACTAAATTTTGTGATGGTATGTCATATTACTGGTAGAATTAGTTTCACAAAATTGCCTGAAATTTGAAAGTATTATTAACTAATAATATATAGATTTAGAAGGAAGAAGACACATTAAAAGATACGAATAATATTAAAATAAAATTAATTACTTAAGGATTAAAAACTGAATTACAAAAAATCGACTTTTTTGAGCAAATATATTAAGTGATTAGCCTAGATGACTGATTATTATTTTTTTATTTTACAGCAAATGACAAGTAAGGCATTTAAGAAAGAAAAAAGGTTTAAAAGATTTTGTTTTATGCAAGAATGGGGAGAATTTACTTTCACTCAGTATGCACTGCACATGCGCATGTGAATCTCTGGATTCTTGAGGTTACTGGAAACCAAAGATCCTGCAAACTTGCTTTGCCCTTCTAAAAGACAATTTGATTGGTGCTGCAAAAACTCGCTCTATGCCAGATGTCCGAATGATGCTCCCGTGATAAATGTTTCGCCAAGAAAGTGATTGCTTTCAACATTGGCGCGAAAATAGTTTGTTGGAAAGATCGCAGTATGAAATTCCCTGAATTTCTAGATTTTAACTAAATATTTAAATTCATTGACTTTTCCCAGTTTTCCAGGTAGCATGGCAATCCCATAAACTATTTGATATGGAAGCTTCTCTATGAATAAAACAATGCATTATTTAAGGTTTTCAGACTGAATTTTGGACACCAAACTTCTGACCTTTCTGGTCAATTGTAACCAACAATTCCACTTAATGCTCCAGAGATTATTACGCTTGTCAAAACATGAATTCAGAAAAAACTGCAATACAACCTTCCTTATAAGGTGTTTTATACAGTCTATAAGGTGGTTTTCTTAACAATAATAAACATCCACCTGAACAAAGTTCATATAAAAATGACATGCTCTTGAAACACTTCAATGGTGCTCTCATATGAGTTGAAAAATAAGTTGATATGAAATACAGATGAGTTGAAACTGAAGCAGAGTAATAATCTTCTAAATTGCTGATACAAAATGTGAGGGGAGAAGTAATGGGGCAGCTGATATTTGTGCATAATTAGAAAACAGCAATGAAGTAAAAAAAAGAACCATTCAGCAGGCAAGTCCTCAGATATTGTTGCTCCATAATCAGAACTTTGGGTTAAATTTTTCATGGGGACACTAGTTAAGAAAGCACTGAATGTGTTAGATATTCAAACAAACAAAACTCTCAAATATGACTTTACAATACTAAAGCTATTTTACATGATATCAGATTTACAATACTGCTTCAAGAAATTAAAGAGAATGCAACACTTCACATTTCAACAGCTTTATTTAGTATAAAAAAATTACCTGCAATATTTCTGCTCCTAGAGGATCAAGAGGGGCCTGTGCAATACGGATTGTAAAAACACTGTGGCTACGACTAGACTCTGTATTAAGCGCTGTGTGGGATACTCTACGTCTTTGCTGGCCTTTATAAAATAGCTCAAGAGCTTCTTCAACAGTTTTTACTTCACTTTCAACCACACCAAAAACGTACATGTTTTTAGAAGCATCTTCTCGTAACATTTTTGAGTTAAAATTCCTGAAATAGAACTTATAACTTTTAAATCGCATGAAGAAATAGAATGAAAAAAACAAGATAATAAATAATTAGAACATAATATGCAACATAATAAATGGCATAATACGTAACAATATGATAGTGAAGAGTAATACAAATATGATGCCATAAATTTTACAAACATCCCAAAAGTATTTTCAAGTTATTAATATAGTGATCAGTAGATGAGTAAATCCTTTTCAAGAAATTAAATATCAATATTTTATTATTAGAAAATATAAAACTTCTGATTCTTGCTAATAAAAACATATGCTATCATACATACCAAATAAAAAAAAAACTATTGCATTTTAACCTTCTCAGCGTTAAGGCCAGAAAATTCCGTACAGAAGATTGCCTTCCACATTCATTATACATGAAAATTTCTGCTAGCTTTTAATGTATCTGATTTCAAATTTGGATGTATATTGGAAGAAAAGGAATCAAGGTACAAAATGAAAGAATCATTTTTTAATTAAAATCAAGGAAATATCACTTACTCACGACATTTTGAGGAACTTTGAAATTTCAAGGTTAAACCCATAACGCTCAGAGGATTAAAAAGTAATAATCTATTGTTGATTTGTATATTTTTTAATAAATAATACTTTAAAGAATACATTTATAAAAAGCAACTAACCTTAATTTAAATTACAGAAATTATTTTTGAATAGTAGATTATCTGTTAAAGCTTTCCAATTAATGAAGATCATATAAAAGTATGTAACTATTTAGATGTCTACACTGCTATACAGACAGATGTATAACAGATGTTTTGATTTGTTAATACTAAATTTCAGCTCCCAAACATTGAAATCATTATTAGTTGAAGTGTAACAATATAAGTACCTGCATCATCAGCATTATCTACTACTATGATATAAATTAATCGTGAGTGATGTGGTTTTATTTAGTTAAATTAATGATTTTGACAAAGAACACCATTGAGAATATCCTGAATATAAAAAATTTGAAATTTATTTTCAATTTAAATATATGAATGTAATGTACTCTCAATCATCCGGGCTAATGCAAAGGAAGCAGGTTATGCATAATCCGAACTATAAATTTTCATACATACTGTATGTGTTTCTTGAAAGTCAGTAATTTTACTTTGCTTTTGAGAACGTTAAAAGATGTGTTGATTTTCACTGTGTATTTTTTGAAATGCTATTTTATCATTGTATTTGAATTCCTTTTGGTCAATGAAGTCCAATAGAGTTTCAACAGAAATTATTGCTGTCTCAGAAGTGAAGTAACTGTCAGTAAGTTCTGTGTTTATGTTTTCAGTATCACACTAGGCCTCTTGTATTCTTGTGACATTTAAAATCATATCTATATCACTCAAGCATTAGAAAGCTCAGCTCAGTTGAACCTCCACTGAAATATTCCTTAACGTTTTCTTGATAGATATTTTCGAAGAATATTGTTTTTTCAGTTTTTTGGCATACCGCTTCAGTTATCAACTCAATTTCTTCGCAATTAGATAAATCTTCAATTTCTATATTAGGAAGAATCTTTCTCCGAAATTAAACCAATATTATTGATTTTATTTTCAGCCAAGTTTTCGCTACTCCATATAACTTCATTAAACCACCATCTTTCTCAGTAAGAGTCATAAGAAGGAATCTAAAAATTAAGAAAGCTGAAGACTAACTTAAAATTATCAAAACTAAAAATGCAATTCAGCTCTTTTTAGAGCATGCTTGAAATTACGAGTATTTGTTTCTTACACACAGTACATAGCAGAGGTGGAGAACCCTTTTACAATGAAAGGCCCCATTTAAATTAGGTAGTGATAAAAGAGGCTGCATAAGTTGATATTCTTGTAAATGTGACATTTATGAAATTATCATAGTTTTATTACTTTACTGCATTAAATAAAATTAATCCAAAAAACGTTAATTAATTTATTAAAATAAAAATTTACAATAATGGTTTTGTGTTCACATAAGCCTATAACTTAACATTAATCTTAAATAAATTTTTAATAAACAACTTCATATATTTTAAATACTATTTCAATAAAAATAATAAAGTAGAAGTATTTTTCAATAATTTATTATATTATAAAGTAAAACAAGAAAAATAATAATATTAAATTTTAAAAAACCAACACAGCAACAGTATTTTCTGCATATTTAACAGCATGCAAAATCATTTTAAAATTCATTGGAAAATTTAATTTAGTAGGATATTTGCATTTGTGTCTTGCCTAAATGAGCATCTGCAATTTGTATTCTTAAAGTTGTTTTAATTTTTGTCATGAGAGAAAATGTTGCCTCGTAGCAGTAAGTACTTTTCAAAGCAGGAAAGTAAACAGTGTGCATGCATTAACAAGAAAAAAATCAAATATGAAACAGTGTCTTTAAGAAAGCGTATACTTACTAAAAACAATAATTAGATTTTGAAGTAAAACAGTAACTAGATTTTGACAATGGCTGAGAGCAATACGAGATGAGACTGTTACAAGCACATACAGTTAACTACAAATCACCAACTCTAAAAAATACAGGGGAATGCTGAGGGGTTTGGGACAAAGGGAGAAAAGTAGGTTCTGTCTGTCTCTTCATCCTGGTGTCTGATCAGTCGTGCTTGCTATAGCAATAGGGTTACCATATTTAAAGTAGAGGTGAGCCATGGCCATAAGAACAAAACCATAAGAGCCATAAGAACAAAACAGAATTTCTATTGTTAGACGTTAACAAACTGAAAAGTGTGACAGAATGGCAATAATTTCAGAGTATGAAGGACTGCTAGAACTGCAACACTGCAGCATTCCAATCCATGTTATGCTCAATATATGGCAGTGTGTTATTTAATACTATTAATTTTCAAATTGTTGTAATCTATATAGTTAAATGTTAATTAATACAAGAGCTAGAGGCAGCACTAGAAACTCAAGGAGGCCGCACGTTCCCCCACCTCTGGTGTAGAGTATGCATGTGTAGGAACTGCCATGCATGGATAGCCCCCAAATAGAATAATTGAGACAGTCTAAAATAATTACCTATATTTTAGAGAGTTTCAGTCTTTTATGAAGATGGTCATCTCAGAGATGAAGAGTATAGGTGATAATGACTAAAAATTCGCATAATGTATTTAGCCTATTGAAAGATCTTGGAGTCCATTCAAGAAAACAGTGAAAAAGGCATATTGGCTTATTAAAAATGTTACACAGTACAAAGTCTGAGATCCGGATGTCAAACTGTAGAGACATTAGGTATTTTTTTGGAAGCAGGCAAGATGAAAAATTAGCAAACGCCTTCGGCGGGAATCGAACCACAGACCTCTGGAATACCGGCCCAGCATGCAGAACCACTACACCACGAAGGCACGCTAGGAAGGCGGGAGAAATGCTTTATAAAATATCTGGGATGATCTCAAAGCCACCACCAATCTTTTTTTTTTTTTTTTTTTTTTTTTTTTTTTGTTGCTTTATGCTGGCTTTTGCTTTTTTTCCCAGAATAAAAATGCGGAGAGTCCCGATTTTAATTTTACTTTGGCATTAATTAAAATACCTCGTTATTGAAGAAACAATCATTTTAGCATAAATTTGTGTGATCAATAATTTGACTCCGTAGCTGTGTATCTGCTTGGCATACGTCTCAACTGAAACATTCTACAAAGAAACATTGTTGATTTTACACCAACTAATATTTTATATCCCTGATGCCAACCCAGCAAATCATTATTTTTATTATATTAGGCTTTCATCACCGCATGTGTATCAGCACATGACAATTTGCGTAATGACTCATGAAGTTATGCCTAAACATTATATATATATATATATATATTTAGTAATTGAATAATAAAAAGCATGGTAAACTTTTCTGTTGACATTACGCTTGGCGAAATGAAAGGGTAATGTCCTCGTTATTGAAGAAACAATCATTTTAGCATAAATTATTGATCACACAAATTTATGCTAAAATGATTTTTTCTTCAATAACGAGGTATTTTAATTAATGCCAGGTGATTACAGATTTAAAGTTAAATGTGCTACAAAATGTTGATGAGAGAAAATTTAACAAAAATTTCTTTCCATATGCTAAAAATAGATTTTGTTAATGATACGCATAGGCCAGTGCTATTTTAATTAAGAATAACTGATTTATTATTCACATAAACCCAGAACTGCCGCCAGAGTTCATATGGACGCACTGGGCGGCGGAATTTAGGGAAGCTAAAATTTTTGAAATTTACAGAAGCACCGAGCAACAAAATAAAGGGATGACAAAATCTTTTAATTTAGGGAAAGCACTGGAATGCAAAATTTAGGGGCAGCAAAAATTTAGAACATAGGTGATTGTTAGCAGAATTTAGGACGCACAGAGGTGGTAAGATATCTAGCGCCGGCTCTCGATAAGCCTTTATTTATTCACGACACAGATAAACCTTAAGCATATGCAAGAAATAGATGTAAGAATAATAAATAACTATAATAATGCAATTCAGCCTTAATTGTCCCAATGCACAATAGAAGCAAGTGAAAATTTAGCGAAACAACTTGTCATTTGTTGCCAATCTTATGATAGTTAATATTAAAGCTGCTGAACTATTTGCAGATGAATTTATGGAGCTCACAAACAATGAAAAGTTATCTCTACAAATTTACAACATTGATGAAACTGGTCTTTTCTGGCAATGTGTACCACAAAATACCTTGGCAAACTCTACAGAAAAGGTTCTAACTAGTGTCAAAGATTCCAAAACAAGACTAATAATAAGATTGCGCAAATGCTGCAGAAATGCATAAGTGCCAACTTTTTGTAATCGAAAAAAAATACACAACATCAAGAATTTAAAGAATATTTTCCCCATTATATATCATGCAAATAAAAAAGCATGGGAGACAGAAACGTTAACGAATGATTGGTTTGAAAATCATTTCATACCTGAGGCTTGGCAACATTTGAATTCAGTTGGTTTACCTGATGATGCAAAAATTACCCTGATTGTGGACAACTGTACAACTCAAACTTCACATAAAGTTTTAATGAAAGATAATGTATCTGCATTATTCTTTCCTCCAAACTGTATGTCCATGATTCAGCCTATAGATATCGGAATAGATCACGAGCTGAAATACAAATATAAAGTAGCATTTAAAGCCCATGTTAAATTTCTTGAATAATGGCAAGACTATTCACGAATTTCTAAAATATTTTAGCATGAAATCTGATGTATGGAGCATTGCAAGGTCATGGGAGAATGTGTCACCAGATACTTTTAAAAATGCTCGGTATAATTTATGGCCAGCTAACATAGTGAGGCTGATGAAGATGATAGCCATGAATTGGAAGGTTTTGGGATATCACAAACTAAAAGCAAAATTTTCCAATGAATGGATTTTGTAAAGAAATGTGGAGAAGTGGTAATAAATGAAGATGATATAACAGAAGTTTTGCACTGAGATGACAATGCCTCTATCATCAATCAACGAACAGCAAAATCTGCAGTATGGTTCTAAATCTGGAAAATACCGCTGCCGACAGTGAAGAAAATTAAGAAGAAAGATTATTGAAAACGAAAAAATTTTTATTGACAAGTTAGTTGAAATTCTCACCACAGCAATTACAAAGATTTGAACAATGGAACTTTATAAATGAACAAGAAATTAGATCTATCTATAGAATTAAAGAGAAAGTATTAGCACACACACAAAAAAAAAAAAAAAAAAAAAAAAAAAAAAGCAACTTAAACAACTTACATTGAAAGAAATTTTAAATAAAGTAAACAAATAAATATTAAGTTTTTTGGGGGGGGGATTCTGATACCCTTCAGATCATAAATGCTTCATTATTTCATAAATCACGATTTCATATTTTTAATTTCACAGTTTCTACATGCCATCTTAGTAGATTTAAAACTGATGATCTAATATCCAGAAAAATCCCAAAGTCCCGACAAGTCCGGATCTCGAACCATATAAATAAATTACACATGAATCACAAAGAATAATAGAGTATAAAATATATAAAATAAAAGCACAACAATCCAGAAAGCTCAAGTAACTAGAATATTTTAGAAAGTGCCATATGTTCCAGAAATGTATTTTAAAAAATCAATTTATTTCAAAGAAAAGTTTTCTGTCAAAGATAAATTCCTTAATTTGTATAATATCTCAAACCACTTTAGGCTGATACTGAAATTCAGTTATCTTGGTAGTTGTGAATATATTTATCTGATGATCTCAGCTAGGTAAAAAAATAACCTCCTTAGAAAAGAAGATTATAATTATTTGTATAGGTATTTGATTATGTTGTCATAAAATATTGGTTACTTTTAGTGATGGTCATCATGATAAGGGTGGTTACTATGACAGGATTTTCTGCATTCTGATTATTAAATTATTTAATTTCATACAGTGAAACCAGATATGAATAATTCCATCTATTGATTGAAAATACCAACGTATTGGACACAAAATAACTTACTTAATTCTCTTAGCATCAATAGGAGATTCTTCTAATAGATCATAGATATAATTGTTGTATATTTCAACATAGGATACAAATACTGCGTAATTCATATCTGGCAAAATTTCAGTTACTACTGTTGGATCTGGAACTCTGTTACACCAATCTCCAATAGTTTCTTTCCTGCAACAACCAGCCATTGAATTTATTTAAGTAATGCACATAAAATAGCATTTTCAGGCTACATCAGAGAGTAAAAAACTAAATGCAAAATTTGAAAATTAAAGTTTATTAACAATTTTTTAAATACTGAAATGTGAAAAATAAATCATGCATACAGTTCATTCTATTTTCATTTACAGCAATTAATGATAAAAACTATATTTTATTGATCATTGCTATAACGAACCGGATGAAACTTTTATTCATCAATAAAAGAATTAATAATAATAAAATTCATAAAAATATTAGATAACAAACATTAATTTTTACTGATTACTAAAAAATTTATTCTAGTCCATATTTTAAAATTTAACATGAAATTATTGATGGTAATTAAAAAATATATAAATAAAATTCGATACATACAGTGTCAAAACTGTTTTTGGATGGTTTAAAGTTAAAAATGCAAAAGGTTTTTCAATCTTTCAGAACTACAAGATTGATGAAATAATTAACACTATTAAAAATCATACTATTTTAAAATCAAACTTTAAAATATATGAATATATTTCCGAAAATTCTTAAGACTTTTGATATATACAATATTTCATTTTCAGAGGCATGTAAAAATAAGTTTATAGAAAAATTTTTCGCATAAGAAATACCTTTTGAGTTTTGGAGTTCTGTTAAAAATGCCAAGTTCTTTTTGCTGATCTAATAGAGCTTCAGCTGTAGATTGTATATCAAAACCATTAAGTCTATCAGGTTTAAATACCTAAAAAATATATATATATGTGTATATGCAAGAAAAAAAATTTTTAATTTAAATTGGCAAAAGTCTTTTAATGAACTTTAATGAATATTTTCCCTCATTATTCTAAAAATAGTAATACGTTTCTCATAATGCTAGTGATAAAATGTAACTAAAACTCAGCCAATAATCATTTTACTGCAATATTAATTATTCAATCAAATGCATCAAGAACTAAAACTATATCATTTCAATTTAAGATTTCATCCTGAACATAATTTGTTTGCTTTTTATACTTTGGCCTCGCTCAATTGCTACTTGCTGCTTCTCTCCTTACTGAAAAGCTATGAAAATTACAAATGTTTTGAAACAGATTGATGATGATTCAGAGTGCCAAACTGTTTATTGCTGCAACATGTTTACTGAAATAAAGATGAATATTTAATTCGCCTCGGTTGCCCAGTTTCCTTTTGATTACGGATCACCATCTTCAGCATCAATGAAAAGCAATATTCTTACAACGTCAATATTTCTATAACATCATGACTTCTAAGCACACTGCTTTTATTACATATATACATACATAACGTAATGCAATTTTTCTAGTAAATATTGTTTAATCCCATTAATACTATGATAATGTTTTTCTATTAATAACATCTTGCCCCAAAGGCACCAAAATGTGTCAATAACTTGTTCGATAGCAGTTGTTTATGTAGCTTCCTTGACACTAAGACTTGTTTATATCTCAGTAAAAAATAAAATATAAGAAATATAACACTCTGTATTTAAATCATGTTCTGCATTTTTAAAGCACACAATCTTTATTACTGAATGAATGCTGCATTCATTAAATTATTAGCTTAATATTCAAACTTGTCCATACTATACTGATCTAATTGGAGTGTCTGAACAGCATTTATTTCAGCAATCAGATAGCACTAATTAAGCTGTTATCAATCTTATGCATAAAATTATTAATACATATAATCAAGTATTATGTGCTCAAATTGTTCACCATACCAAAGAAAAAACAAAATCATACAATCATAGATTTTATTGCAAACGTTCAATGAAGCATTTCAAGATTTCTACTTTGGAATGGTAGAAATATTTTTCGGAAAAGGTGCTCCTAATGGGAAAACCAAAATAACTAATAATATTAAATATTCATTTTAGTACTTACGTAAAATTTTGTTGACCATTTTAGCCTATTAAAGAAAAGACGCCAAACTATGCTATTTTTCGCCAAAAATGGAAAAGTTTTCAAACACGCTGGGTTTGGTGTAACCTCGATTACACGTGTCAGTTATTATTCTTGAGTAAAGCCTCCTTTTTTTGCTGTATCACGGATTTAAAAAAAAAAAAAACAAATGCAAAAATAATTGCTAAACCTAGCGAAATAACCTAGGTAATAAAACCTAGCAGAAATAATTGCTTTTACAGCATATCTCCTTAATAAAAAATAATGGAAATTTTTAATGAAAAATAATAAATTTGAAAGGAAAATAAAAATAGAACATTTTTTCTTGTATTTAGTAATTTTTTTTTTCCCCCCTCTTTTCTTTGGCACGAGTGGTGCCGTCTCTTGTGGTCGATGGGATTTTCTGTAAGTACCATCATTTCTACTAGCAGTGATTATTACTAATAATTAAAAATTACTTACAAATTTTGTGGCTTGAAAATCTTTTATGCTGTTAAATATAACATCAAGACTTCTGGGTAATAATCCCCCATCCTGAGGATTTCCAGTCATAGTGTGTGTCTTACCTGATGATGTTATTCCATATGTAAATAATAAACCTAAAGAAAAAAGGTTTTAATAAGTACATTTGGCTACAGAAATTAAATCCTAAGCAAGCAAAAAAGACACTAAAAATATATTAATATTTTTTAATAAAAAAAAGATCAGTTTTGCACAAAATGCTGCTTTTAAAATTTCCAGGAGGTGCTTTAATTGAAAATGAAATTCAGAAGCAAACCTGGACAGGCATAAAAACACTTGCTTTTTTAGTTTTACATAAAACCAGCTAATATATTCCTGATAAAAAATTATGGATATAAAAGCACTTCTAAAATAATAACTTAATAAAGCATGCTAAAACTGTCAAATTTATATGTATTTGAAGTTACAAACAAAATCAAAATGTTATAATTATGGTAACTCCTGCGATTCACTGACAGCACTTTTTCCCTCAATTTCTCACTATTGTCAGATTGCTTTTTAAGCTATCTTGACAATAAAAATTAGTAAAAAGTGTACTCTCTCCTATAAGAACAGCAGTAAAAATTTATCAAGATTTAAAATACTTTAGTATGTACAGATTTTAAACTTGGAGACATTACTGAGATTTTAATTTACATTACTACAATTTCAAATTAAATAATTTCTAATTTCCGCTGATCAACAGTGATTAAAAATGTATACTAGACTAGATGATACTTAAAATAAAAAATGACTGAACTTATAAAATGAAAATGTGTTTCAAAGTAGAATTACTTACCATTGTTACCTTGCAGAAGATCACTGACTAAAGGCAAAGCCACGTGATCAAACAATTCTTTTTGTGTTGTTCTCTCATTAAATACTCGTTGAAATGAATAATGCACCTACAAAAATTTCAGTATTATTACATTGGTTTATTTCTAATATATACATTTTCTAAAAACAACAGACAAATTTGAAACAGTAGTTTATAATAGTTACATCAAAGCAAAAATTTTAAATATGGTATAAATATTTTCTCTCAACTCTAAAAATTACTGCTCAGAATAACTATATGAAAAAATTCATAACAAACTTTTTAGTCTCTCATACATTCCACAGCATTCTTGCTAATTTTCAAAAATTATGTTATTTTATGACAATATAATTACATAGAAAACTGCTGTAGAGTAACTATTTTCACTCTTCTGTTAGTAAAAAAAAAAAAAATATCAGACAATTATTCAGACAGAACCAAGCCGTTAGACAGAATTTGGCCCACATTAAACCAAGAAAGCTTACTGCAAAAAAATTTTAATCTTAGTAAAAACATAACACATCTCTATGCAAAACACACAGTTACCCAAAATAAACCCCCATCCAAGCAAGAGTGTTCCATCTTTTCTTATAAAATTATTAGTTATATTCCCAAGTAATTAATACTAATAATAAAACAGTTTGATTGAATGATTGATACAACAAGGAACTAAAATTTACCCACGAAAGCAGTCTAAAGAAAAAATCATTGTCTAACTTGAATACAGCCTGCAGAACTCGTGCAATCTAAAAATCTGCATCCAATATTCCTATACAGAAGCCTGATAAATTATTACAATGTAATACTTTTTTTTTTTTCCCCAATTTCAACACAGAGTTTTGGCAATTTTTCAACTACTGTATAATTTTATCTTAGCATACAACTATGCAAATTGATAAATATTGCTAGTATCATATTAACTTCTTAGACTACTTAAAGATGTTAAAATTATGTCCTGCAGATTTACCCACGTGATGATGGTAAAAATGCTCTAACAACTGATAGTTTAAGATTGAAGTTCGAAAAGTTTTATTTACTTATTTAGAAAGAAATATTTTTAACATTTGTAATTTATGACAAATGCTACTTGCCTATCATAATTGCCAAAAAATTTGTAGTGGCCATTATGTTAAGATAAGTACATTATTAAGATTATATATGGATGTTGGTTCCAAATTTTTCATTTTCGGGGGTGTTGACCACTCCAGAATTGAAATTCTATAAGCTGTAAAATTTTTCTGGGATTCTCTTTAATATTACAGTCAAAAGTCTTTAATCCGGATGTCCATAATCCGGAATTATCTATAACCCAGATCTCAAAGCTACAAACTTTCTGCGCATGCGTTAACGCATAATGCGTTTACGCATGTGCATAATACCTTTACTCATGCGAATATGCGTTTATGCATGCATGTTTAACGTATAACGGATGGTATAAGCTAAGCTAAAATTATCTAATTATCTATTTCAGTTAATGTTGCAGATTGCGTTGTTCCTTAATCTTCGAATTGGATCCGGCTTATTATTTTTTGCAGACTGTTAGAGCAATTTCATAAAAGTAAGCTTGAACTTTCGATTATGACAAAAAGAATTTCCAATTCTGGAGCTGCCAAAGGATCTACAAAGCGAAAGCATATTTCGATGTCCATCAAACAAAAAGTGGAATTGTTGCAAAAAAGGGATAAAGGCATATCCTTTGTTTCTCTAACCATTCCAAAATTTGTTTATCAACATCACGCTGCTCTCTGTCAGCACTATCCTTATCTTCAGGGCAGATGTTTTTATTTTATTCGGCTTATAATTCTTTACTAAATGTAATATTTCATCTCGATGTACTCAGTCTTTGATATGTTTTAAATCAAATTCCTCATCATTATATATATCACGAATACACATCAAATAGTTTTCTGGTTGCAATTTTCTAATTTCGACTGTGCGTAATGTATGCTTTACGCATGCGCATGTTGAATGAAATGCTTAATAAAGTAAACAAATAAATATTAAGTTTTTTTTTTTTTTTTTTTTTTTTTTTTTTTGGGGGGGGTAAACTTTGATACCTTTTAGATCATAACTGCTCCTTATTTCATAAATTATGGTTTTATATTTTTAATTTTATAATTTCTGCATGCCGTCTTACCAGATTTAAATTGATGATCTATAATCCGGAATCGCCGAAGTCCCGACGAGTCCGGATTAAAGATTTTTGACTGTATTATTAGATAGGTTGATTATTTTCCCTTCAGTTATCATTTATATTAAAACAAGCTATAAAGTTTTTCCCTTTTCCACTAATCAACTCTTAACTCATTTTTTAAAATATAAAAGAATGGCCATAGGACATTTAACACCCTGAACTGCTCAAACTGTTATATCACTGAAGAATTTTCTCAGACAGCTTTTCTGAGACTATTGAATTATTCATAATAGAATATGTTTTCTTCTTTGGATACAAGTTCAACGTTTAATACTATGTTAATTTTGAGCATATACCACAGTGCTTTTAAATCTATTGTCCTTGCACTTAGTCAAAGAAGTAGTTTTTTTTTTTTTTTTTTCTTTTAAATCAAAGTGACTAATTTCACAAAGATTTCTAAAATCTGCATAGCATTCCATGCTTAAAAACATGCTATGTAATATTTCACCCATCATTTCACCTGGATATCATCCATTGTCACATCGGATTTTGCAATCCTACAAGCGGCTAAGGACGATTTTTCACAATGCAGCTTACTAGCTCATGTACATAATGTAAATAGCTACATATATTCTAAAAATAATACATTTCAACTAACAAAGTTTGGTACTTTTCCGTTTGGCCGGCACAAGCGATAAAGTCGCCGAAAGTGGTACAACCAATGCCAAACCGAATATCCTCGCTGATAACCTTTCAGCCACTTTTTCAAAAAGTCGCTGCTATTTCTTATCAGATTGATCGTTTCTTTCAATATTGGCATACAGTTACATAGAATTTTTTTAATTATAAAATTTAAATAATTCTTGCATTAAAACTCGAATTCCATACTAAGATTTAACTTGAAATTAATGTAGATAATTTCTGAGAGAATTAGATATTTGTAGCTTAGTTTACATGAGATGGTATCATTTGGGATCACATGATATGAACCGGCGAATCGAGATGTCCATGAAAGCATAGTAAATTCTTAAATTAATGTCTTTTTACAAATATGTTAAAAATGGATGAAAACCAATGAAAATTTGGGATTTGCTCAGGACAGAGAAAGAATCTGTCAGATTCTTTCAAGCGAAAGGTGTTTTGCCTAACATTGCTTTTTGTGATAATAATCATGAAATGAAATTATATTTTGAAGCTGCAACCTTTCAACTTGCCGCAGTAAAAGAAGCATACGGAAAGGCACACGGTTTGAATCATTGAGATTGAGTTTTTTGAAGTGTGTAAGATTTATTTATGGTTGGAATTAAGAATTAACTTCAGTTAAATGGTGTAAAAAGCAGTTGGAAATCAGTCACAGAACAGTTGTAGACTGGAATAACTACATGCGAGAGGTTTGTGTGGATTCTTTACTTAAACGTCAACGACACAGAATAGGAGGACCTGGTATGCTCGTTGAAGTGGATGAAAGTATATTCACGAAGCGCAAAAACAAAGCGGGACGGATTTTACCATAACAGTGGATCTTTGGTGGAGTTTGTCATGAAGCAAACGAATGTTTTCGTGTGAAGATGCCAAACCGGTCCATGACTATTATATTAGAGGCAATAAAGGAAAATATCGAAAAAGGAACTACGATGTATTCCCATTCATGCAAATCATACTTCACTGAAAAACTGGAAGAGGAAAGTTTCAAACATTTCAAAGTGAACCATAAATATAATTTTGCAGATCCGGAAACTGGAAAGTACACGCAAAAAATAGAAAGACTATGGGGTAGCGCCAAATGACGGAATAAGAAACACAGAGGAACGGCACGTCATCATCTGGAAAGTTACCTCACCGAATTTATGTGGCGAAAAGACACATAGGACTCATTCGAAAAAATTTTAAACGATATTAAAATATTTATGCCTGCAAAATAAAACAAATTTTTAGAACTAACATTTGTTAAAAATTTTTATGTGTATACTGTATGTTGTTGGCAATAAAGTCTGCTTGGCGAGATTTACGATGGAGAAACGGAAATGGCAAGGTATGGAAAAGAACCATACTATATTTTTTAAATTTCCCTATGCTAATTTTTAAATTTCCATTTCATTACTATTCATCATTTCAAGTCTACATTTGTCACTAGATCGGAACATAGAAAAACAACTTTCTCAGTTCTGCATATTACTGCACCATTTCTTACCAGCTCAAACAGCAACAATTTTTTTGCCATTGTGATGGCACTAATCAGTGCTTATTACAAAATTGCTTTAGAGCACCTGCCAACTATGAGTTAAATGCCACAGTGGCTAATTGCCTAGTGCCTAATCATCATGGTCAATGGTAAAAAAAATCAAATCATTAACACCCCCCCCTTTTTTTTTTTTTTTGGTACTTACCCGAATCGGTAACCGTTTGTTTCTCACCAATGCAGAAATGCATCAAATCAACAGTCTCGCTAGGTCTATTGTAGAAAACAAATACCTAATATTGTATATTACTTAAGCCAATGGCTTAAGATTACAATAATATGAATTAACAATACTCCATTTCCATACTCCATTTCATAAAATAATTAAAATACATCAGATTTATGTTTATTATCGGAGTGTACATATATTTTGCAGTAAAATAATAATTAAATATGAAAATATATAGCACAAATAAATACCAGTCTATTATTAATAATTAGTACTATTAATCTAAACTAAATTTATACCCTGAATTTGCATACCAAAGCAAGACTGTATGAATGATTAAATCATAGAAATAAAGATTTACTATTAATAAGCACATATGTTGACAAACTGACAATGAAAAAAGATAAGTGGCCTTTCCATTCACTACTAATAGTTATAAAGGCAGTTTAAGAGTAATTGTACAGAAAATTACCCAATGAATCAGAAATATGGCAGTTTTGCAGTAAATGAGTTATATTTAATTTGACTTTTTTTATTTCAAAGAATGATGTGTATATCATTAGCGAACAATGTAGGATATATGAAGCAAGTTAGTTCTAGGGTAGAGTTGACTTTAAGGTACCCCTTGTATTATCGCGAAGTTGTTGTTTCATTTATCGCCAAGTTTTTGTTTTGTTTTTCGCCAAGTTGTTGTATCATTTATGCTGAGTAGTTGAACATCATGGAAACCTTATTATGACATAATCATTTGCATTATTCTGGGAAATTTTGAATTATGGGATGTTTTGCAAAGGCTTTTGTGGTGTGTGTTGCTTAGGAAGTACATTGCTTGTTTCATTGTTTAGACGGTACAATGCTGAATGTAGTTCTGAAAAGTAAATTGAATGTTTAAATAATTTGAAGTTTCTGTATGATTTGGAATGAAAGGGGAAAAGTGCATTAATTAAGTGAATTAATTGTGTAAATGAAGGTTTACTTAGTAGCCATAGTCCGGAACTACGTAGTATATTTCTGACTTTTATTTTTGTGAATTTCTGTGGCAATGCTGATATACAGATTGTAGTTCAGATAATTTTAGGAAGTTTTTAGTTTTTGGATGCTGTTAAGAAATTTTGTGTGCCACAGACTGAAGACGAACGAATTTCTAAATAAGGTAAGGGGATTTTGCTTTGTGTAGTGCTAAATTACATAACAGGTTTTCTTTTTTTTTTTTTTTTTTTTTTTTTTTTTTTTTTTAAAATGTAGCTAGATTGAATTATGTATTTTTTGTTCGCCTCTATGTAGAATGGATGCTCCTTTGACTTTTTAAGTGAAATATATTGATTGTACATGGACAACTCAAGGGAATAAGGGAATGTTAAAAGCATAGTTTGGCAAGTCAGGATTTTTTTTTTTTTTTTTTTTTTAAGTGAAAATAGGTCGATGTGTACATGGATAAAGTCAAGGGAGTACACAATGCTATTTTTTTGCAATTCGGGGATTTTTTTTTTAAGTGAAAATAGGTTGATGTGTACATGGATACTGAGTTTGTGCAATTCCTTGACTTGTTATTTTGGCTTGTGTAACGGCAATTTTTAGCGCCAAAATCGCCGATACACAGGCCAAAATAACAAGTCAAAGCATTGCACAAACTCGGTATCCATGTACCGCCAAAAATCGCCAAGGAGTACCCTAAAATATACTTTTACCCAATTCTAGCATGAAATTTTTTATTTATAATTATCCATGCTGCAAACGGTTATTGCCTAGAATGATCATAAAACTGAAGGCACATGATTTTAACGCAGCATTGTTGCCATCAACTGTTGGACAGTGATAAAAATGACTGGTTCTTAGTTTGATGGAAGTGTTCAAAATTAAAATTAGTTTGAGGCAATTAAGTTAATCTGGTTGGTATTGTTTTTTTGATCTGAAGATTTGATTTTCCAGTGGCTCTGTTTCATTTCTGAATCGTACGATATCAAAACATTATATGAAGCTCTACTTCATTATGTTTAGAGCAACTTTTCAATCATATTAAAACATATAAAAATGAGAAAATAGTTTTCCCATTTTCTTGACTACTCTGTAGCAGTCGACAAGGTTAATGGTTTTAGAAATGAGTGATAAAAATGAAAAAATTCGACAAATTGTTGATTGGCTCAAATTATCATTGAATGTGTTAAAGTGTAACAGAGAAAAAGACAAATAAGTCTGAAATTAATATCATGTTTATTTTTAATAATGTTTTACATTTGTTAAATGTTTGTTGTTTTACTTGGCATATATTAGCTTATAATTTGAGATATTCTGCTTTCTTTAATAATATAAATATCATCTTAATGAATGTAAGTTTATGAAAACAGAGACTAAAATAAATAATTAAACAAATTCAATCAATAAATGCTGTTTAAATACCAGTCTTCATGACAGATCTAAAATCCTGTGCCCCTCAGCAGGTTAAAACATCCCAAAATTAAATAATTTAAATTCTACAGTTTTTTTTTTTTTTTTTTTTTTTTTTTTTTAAATAAAATAACACAAGTAATTACAAACATATGCTTACTTCTTTAAATATTCTAGATGTTTGAGAAAGATCAGGTGGGAATAAAACAACAGTTTTCTCATCTTTTGCTCGAACACAGATTTGATCATATTCATTGTCTAAGGGTCTGATTCTACAATACACTTCTATAGGATCTTTTGCAGAAGATTTTAACTTTGTCAGTGGTTTTCTTGGAGTCTTGGGACGTCTGGAAGATTTAAAAAACAATATTCTTAAATATGTCATCTACACTCCTTTAAAAAAAATGATCCACAAGATAACTAATATCACATATTAAATACACATTGTCAAAGTCTTACCAAGGCTTAATACTAGTATACGATGCACACGGGATTTGCAACTTTCTCATGACATTCAGGTTTAGTTCTAATAGTGGTAATTTTTTATTATATAGGTGTGGATTATTCGGTTTGTAGCATAGCCTGTCGGTGCCCACGCATACACACTCAAAGCTATGCAAGAGAGTCTAAAAAATCAAACACATGTAATTCCGAGCACGCTCTAAAAACCAGTGAATTATACCTTTATGTTCAGTTTCAATGATTACCTTGTACTGTTCATTCTGCATATACATAAAGGCATTGTTTGAATTTATCACTGGGATTGTTTTGTTTCATATACATATTCATGCATATTCTCTTCTTATTATTTTAAAAATAGAATCAACATTTTAGAGCTAAAAAGGAATAAAGATCACATTAACAAATACTAATCGTTTCATATGTCACAAGAACAGAAGAGGCAGAGTGGTTTTGAAAGTACAAACAAAGAAAATACCGAGAATTGCATTAGTCCAGTAAAAGATAATATAAAGATTTATGTTCAAACTCAACTGGACTTCTTCACCAACAGAGTTTCAAATACCGTGATCAAACATCACTTCGAAAATTCATCAATGAAATTCAACAAATATTTAAATGTTCTTATAAAAGATTACTTTTTTTTTTTTTTTTTTTTTTTTTTTTTTAAGAAATAAGAATGTACCATAAGCATGAAAATTGATAGTTTGGATTATATACGTTTTTCAATTATCCATAACCTGGATAATCAACAGTACACTGTATACAGATGAAACAAAAATTGTTCAAAATCACTTAACAAAATTTTAATAATTTCTGTCTCGTAAGGTAGACAGTATAATTAACTTAGCCTTTTTTTTTTTTTTTTTAATCTGACATATTTTCATTCTCTTTTCTTTTGATACTTCGCTAAATTTTGAAAACTACAGATTGATGGTTGCAAGTTGCAAATAAGCAAAGAATTTTCAGTTACATGAAAGTTAGATTTCCTATTTATAATTTTAATAGAGAAATTTTGGTACTATTCTATTTTGAGGACCATAAAAAATTGCCAAACTATTGTTGATGCCAGTGCTACCATAAATAATTCCGGCAACCCTAACACAAGAAAGGATGTACAATAGTAAATAATTATCTAATATTATTGTTTTAATTTAGATGAAAGGTTAATTTTTATAAACTTTTTATTATTATAATTTAAATAAAAAGGCTGAACATAAACTGAATGGAAGCATAACAGTAAATAACTATTTCAGATCATTATTATAATTTATATAAAAAAAAAAAAAAAAGGCTTAACAGAACTGAATGGATTCCCGCATCGCTATTTCGCTACCCAGTTATCGCTAAAGCATAATTTAATCTTGTTGGTTGTTCAAACATAATTTTATATAATGAATGATGCCTTTTCTTTAAAATCCTTCTATTGCAGACTTTTCGTAATGGAGAATTCCCAAATTGTTAAATCCATAGGATATCAAAAAAAGGATTTGGTTCATCTTTGGATTATGGTAACTTTGCGATTTTTTGGCGAAAATTTGGCGACCAACACTGCTACAACAACCTGCCAGTTTTTGTTTGCACTCAATTTTGTTTTCATGAAGTAAAGGCATGGTTTTCCCCCCCCCCAACATTTTTTTCCAACAATCTGCTAGCTGAATTACACTTATGCTAGAACTTTTATGGAACAAAAGTGCTTAAACATGACTAATTAGGTATGAAATTGGGAGAAAGTGCAGAATCGCAAACTGCTTGCCGCGTTTTTAAGAATTGCACATACACGGTAACCATGTACACGTCAACCTATTTTCACTTAAAAAAACATCCCAGAATTGCACAAAAATGACCATTGTGCACACTCTGACTTCTTATCCTGTACACTGCTAAAGTCCTAGCTAGTAACCTTTATTGCCTTACCAAAATGTCGCCAAACCACCTGTTACCATATTCCAAGGATTTAAAAATTAAACTAGTATTTCAATGGTGTCTTAAGAAATATAGAACTATCTAAACTTACACGCTTTCAAATCAGTGTGTGCGCTAGATTTGGCGTGCTGTTAAATGGGCGCATTTGCTAGATTTGGTGCTTTTGCGCATACATTTTCGCTGCAGTTTTTTTTAGGTCCTCAAAACGAAATAGTACTGAAATTTTAAATACTGGGATATTTTTATTAAAAATATGAAATTGATCTATCACATCAGATAAAATCCTAATATACAGTACGGCCTTCGCACAATTTTGAAAATTGAAGCCAACACAAAAATGACTCGTTTACTGCTCATTATATTGCCAAATCCCGTGTGTACCATATACTAGGATTAAATCTCATATCAATATCTGAGTAGGAAGTGTATAAAAGTAATGGATAAGTACTCTATCTACACACAATGAAGGTACTTTTGCATTTCTTACAATAAAAAACAATTTAGACTTCATCAATTTCTGTTATTTTGTTTAAAATAAAAAAGAAAACTGCTAACTGTTGATAAATTTTAAAAAGAAAAATTGGTACTTTTCTGTTATCGGGGGACTGGATTCAGAAATGTATGTATGATGTGTGTATGCATGTATGTGCATATGTGTGTGTGTATATACACACAAATATGTATGCACATATGTATATACATGCATACATGAACACATCAATCCATACATACATTACTGATTACGGTCCCAATAACAGAAGAGGACCAAAATATACACATCAAGGTATTTTAAGATAATACATGCAACAATGGTGTACAATCAATCTCCTTTTTAAAAAAAAGGGAGGGGCAGAAAAAGAAAAGAAAATAGAGAAAGAAAAATTAAAACTCAAAAATCTCATAATTCATTTTAATCATTCCTTAGTATTTTGAAACATATTATTATATACAACCAGAAAATACACATACGTTATATTTTGGGAGTAATGGGCAATCTATTAAATATTTCTTGAAATTTAGTTCACAAATGCAAAAAAAAAGTTTATTACGAGTTTACTTCACCAGCATAGTACCCTTTCTTTTCAGCCATACTGTAAATTGCTTAAAACATGGAAAACTGTATCACAATAAAATTTCATAACAGTTTTAAACTTTGAATTTAGTTGTCCTTTAAAAATTTTGTAAAGCAATATGAAAGGTAAAATTTACGTCCCGTCCTCCTATTAAATGCAAAGTTACTTCATATAACGTATAATTTACGATTTGATTAAATTTTATATTAATTCTTAAATAATAAAAAAAAGTTTGATTAAATATATATGGCATTACAGTAAAATATTTTAAGGAGAACAAATGACGTAATTTGTTTCTAAAATGCATTATTTGGGGGGCTGGTAGCTATTAAAAACTCTCCTTACATACAGAACAAATATCAAAAGTTATCTTGCATCTTATTTTAAACAAAACGAAAAAACTGACTTACACTGGTTTCATTTTTATCAAATATCCGAGTTACAAACTGTAGAACGCAAGTTACACCCAAGTTGCATAACACTCAAGTAAGATAATTACAATCGAACACAACTGTTTTAGCGTTTGAAATCGCGCGGTAGAAATGATATTTACAAAATTTCGGCAGTTACAGTTATTACGTTTAGACAGACAGACAGATAGTAGACAGATGTCTTGTTTTGCACCCGCTAAGAATGCTGGAAAATGTTTAATATTATTACGGTCGGATGTATTTTAAATTTCTAAAATTTATCTTTTATCTACGTTTAAAATACTGCCGTTTGTTTCTTAGTGCACGATACTCAACTTTATTTTCATATTTTAAAATCTTTATATTGGCGTACAAGAACTTTTTTGTTCTCGCTTTTCTGATCATATTGATAAATGCATTTGACAACTTTCCATACTGCTGTGGCGCCCTCTTTGAGCCTTTTTATTGTTGTAGTAAATATACATTTGACTTTCCGTAATTGGTTGCTGCAGGGAAACATACGTTAATATTTTCAGTTTCTTTTTACTTTCAAAGCACTTTTCTTTAATTTCCTAATGACCTTTAGTTATTATAAGCTTTTTCAGTATTATTATTAAAATTTTAATATGTGTAAATGGTTTTTAATTCATACATATTACGTTTTAACACTTAATGGACATCTTTTTTAATTATTTAACATTGATTCGTTTAACTTTGGGTTTCGTATTTTTGGCCCAGTCTCATTTTTATTTCATTGAAACTAAGAGCGAAATTAAAATCTCCAGATTTGGCCTTTCGCTTGTGTGTGCTGTCCCAAACAAAAATTTCTATAATTTCACTCATGGGCACGGCCCAGAAACCCCCTAATAGACTTAATTCGTGAAA